CGATTCGTTCTATCTTCACTGGGTACATAACAATTAATCACCCGAAGCTTTAATTGTCCTTTGAAATTAAAATCTCTAGACTGCCCTCTGCTTCCACATGAGGATATTCTCCCAGCATGTACCCATAGCCACTTGTGGATAATGAGGCCGACTCCCGTACCTCGCGTTTTCCCTTCCTCACCTGTTAACCACCAAAATTTATAACTTTCTTGTTTTATATAGTCTGCTGCTATTTTCGCACCATGATTCATATTTGTCTCTTGTAACGCAATAACATCATACTCTTCTGACTCTCCCCAATGACAAAGTGTTTCCAATTTTCCAGCTGTTAAAATTCCCTGTGTATTGAAGGTTCCTAACTTCAATCTATCATTCTTTCCATCTCTATTTACTGTCCTACATGTTACTATGTTAGGCGTATTACTCATTTAAGGAAGGTTTTGAGGATTGTCCAATTATCACTACAGGCTTTGATGGCAATGGTACTGTTTTTTCAGCAGCCCTGGGTGGGCCCATTAGCGCCATAATAGCGGCCAAAGTCTCGTTCGTGTCTGGGATAGCTAGTCCACTGGAGTTCTGGCCTTTCTTTGACTTCATCGCGCTGCGACTTGTGTCTGCGCTCAGACCGACTGCCATTAGCTGTTCCTTAGGGACAGTGATGCCCATATTCTTTGAGAGCATTTGAATCACTATAGACATCAACATCTGATTGGTCTGCGCAAGCTGTAATTGCTCCTGTTGCATTCTAACGATAGTCTCTTGAAGCTGTCCAATTTTCTTTTCCAATACATTTTGCATAGCTTTATTTTGTCCATTATGCTGCTGTCCAGGCTGTTGTTGCTTATTTTGTTGTGGTCCGCTGTTTTGTCCATTCTGCAGTCCATTTTGCGGTCCATTTTGCGGTCCATTTTGCAATTCGCTTTGTCTCTGTGTCTGTTCTCCATTTTGGCTGCTACTTCCAATGATCTGTGCAAATGTACGGTTAGCCGTGACCTTAAGCGCTCCACCTCTTTGGTACTCTTTCACTGCCTGGATGTGGGCCTTAGTCTTCATTCTTTCAATGTAAATTGTGCACACCCTTTGAATATGGCCTAGTTCACCGCACTCTCTACATCTTTTGTCTTCTTTATCTCCCCACATAGTTTCTTTCCCACCTACTTTAATGGGAATCTCCATGCAGCTAACCATGTCTGCTTCTGATGAGAAATAAACGAATGCTTCACGTAAAGTCTTTGTGTATTTACCCTCTTTCGAGAAAATCCTTGGGATAATTAAAAACTCAGCCTTATTTTCGCCCAGGATCTCTTTCAAGTCCAAAGGCGTTGTTCCCATAGGGAGTTGAGACAGCTTTGCGACATAACGCAGTTCCCACACTACTTTCTCCTTTCCAATTGTACTTAAACGAGCAAGATCTCTACCAACGAAAACCCACTTTTTCTTTTCCGCTTGGATTTTCTTTACACTCTCCTCTTGTCTAAAGAGAACTCTTGCCACAATTTTGATACCATTTTTGCATGGACGAGTTACAATTTTTTCCACTTCGCCAAACTGAGCCATCGCTGATTTGATCCTGAAATCATCAGTCCTGGGATGAAGACCGTAAATTTCAACTGATCTATCCTGTTCTGTGATGCGTTGGTCCTGATCGACTCTGGTGAAGATAGGCTGCTCCGAAGATGTTCCGTTTTCTTCGTCTTCTTTATGGTGAGTGAGTTCCAGCAGGTTCTCTAGGTCACCCAGCGTTTCAACGGCGACGCGAAAAACTTTTTGTCCGTCCTTATTCTTGATACGGGTTGGTCCCTCCGTGCAGTGGATGCCTTGGTGAATGAGGATCTGCTGGAGTTCATCTCTTTTCATAGCGTAGGTGTCGCCATAGATCAGATCCACAGGAGCCGTGGCCACGAAAAACCTTTCCTTAGTTCTCTGAACTTCGATCCACTCTGTTTCGTCATCCATTTCTTCGTCGTCTTCGTCAATTGCTGTCTCGGTAGCAGCGCGCTCTTGATCAACTTGCATTTGTTTTAGTCCCTTTTTGGGATTATAAGAACAGCGTTGAGTGGAATTCATTGCAATTGGGGTGGTGGCCCCAATACTTTGGCTTGGTTTTTGCGCGTCTTGGCCGTCAAGGGGAAGTTTTTGTTTTTTGAAATTGTTCATTCTGCTTGATTCTCCATCATCTTGTCGATGATGGAGTTGAATTTTTTCAGTCCCAGACATCTTGGGTTGATAAATACTTTTGCACTCTTGTGCGCTAACGTAGGGTGTGTAAGGGGTGTTAAGAGAGGGGCAGTGTTAATGTAGCGTCCGACTTGATGGATCGAAGAAGAGTTTGCGGAGAACACTAGGCTGTCTCGGAGAGAAAGTATAAAAACTCAAGCAAATCCCTGACCTGGCACATGCTTGCTTCACTTTATGTGCCTTAACCAGGACTCGAACCCGGCCCCTGGGCTAGACAGGAGGGTGCCCTGACGAGTATACTACTCAGCCATTGGGCGCCGGGAAAAACCATTGGGCGTCTGTGCTGGCCAACAGAGGTGCGTAGGGTACACTAGGTCACGTGCTATATCATGTAGATTGTATAAGAGGATATATATAGTATTAGATTATTGTCATTTACAAGAACAAAAAGCCACGTTTGTATGGTGTAGTTGGTTATCACGTCTGTCTAACACACAGACGGTCCTCGGTTCGAGTCCGAGTACAAACACTTTTGTATACTCCATTTTGAAATGGGAATGTTCGCTCTTTCTCTAGGCTCGAATTCAGTAAGAGAGGGAAGCTTGCATCTAAACGTGCAAGCCAAATTTTGTTGCCTTTTTTATAGGCAAAGACATTACGCTTCTCCTCTCAGACTGGGAGCAAACTCGGCCTTCTACTATGCTCTGGCGATCATGCGATATTTTAATTTAGGATGAAGTTATTTGCACGGGCCCGTACACCCCTTATTTGTACGGCCCCCGTGCAAATAAATTTTTACTTATAAAAAAAATTATTTGCACTGCCCCGTACACACTCTATTTACACTGCTCCCCCCGTACAAATAAAAAAAAGTTATTTGCACGAGGGGTCTTTTTTTTATTTGCACGGGGTCTCTTTTTCATCTACAAGCAGCAACGTGTATCCTACAGACTACATGATTCTGGCTTTATATAAATAAGTGGAGGTGAGTCTAGAGTAGAGAGGGGTCTGGAATTATTACTGGTGGAAGTTGCAGCGCCGTGGGAGCTGCCAAACAGCTCATTTGTGACATACAAAAATACTACCATTAGACCCATATAGCGTATACGATGATTTAAATTACCACTCACGTGGGGCAGACAAGAACCCTCTCTTTGTCCTCCTTAGTTGGTGCAATGTTTTAACCTAATTGATATAACTTACTATGTATGTAATATGGAGCTAAAGTTCACCTTTTATTAATGAGGCAATGTGGATAATCACTGAAGTTTTTGGGCAGTACAGGCTGAGGGAAAACGGCAAGAAATAAGATTGAAGACAGTGCTTCTCTTCATTACCATTTCAAGTGATTGTACAATATGAAGCTGGTCCTTTAGACGCAGTGAGCATCTACATGTGCTGCTGAGTATGCAATACTGCGTGCTAAAGACGAACCAAGGTAAGTTGGCTATGATAATAAACTTGGAATGTAATGAGACAAAACTAAGGATTGTTGCGATTAGCAGTCATTTATATGGGTTTTTACTATAGCTAAGGTTTTTACCCTTTTTATTTAACGAAGATCCCTGGATCATAATAAAGACATCTTTTTTTCGTTCTCGCTAATTATTATGACCCTGGCATATTTCAATAACAGAAAAGAATATTTATGTCTCTTTTCTATCACTATTAGTCACGGTTATGCTATTAAAGTATTTTAGCCACTTAGATATAGAGATATAGGTGATTGTGGCACGATCGGCTTTGAGTGCGAACTGTCACCAACTATCAAAAGACAAGTAATATCGGGTAAGAGGATAGATATTCCACAAAATAAGCTGAGGTCTACCCATTGTATTTTGATGAATTTGATAAACAAAATAGTACCGAGGGCGCTTGAGTTCTTAATAAAGGACGACAGAGATAAGGACATCTAAGAGGAAAGAAAGAGACTAGTAACATGGCGCGCTATGCATCATAGCAATGAGTATGGTAGTATGATTGGTTGTACATCTACCGACACAAACTACACGTTAGAGATTCCTAATAACTGAATTCATCGTTGTGTGCTTAATAGTGTACGGAAATACCTAAGATGTATGCACGCGTTAAATGAAAGAAAGCATCGGGGAACCATAACAATGCAACCAACAAAAGTGCAAAGTAAAGCTGCATAGTATATTTCAACTATAGATAAATCATTTGTAATTCTGTATTTAGTCCCAGTCGCATAAAGAATGCCAACATCTACTCTGAGCTACATACGAACTTGATAAGATATTCTGGTCAGTATTTGATGCTTAGGCAGCGGCTCTAGATCTAAGCCTGTGTCATGGAAGGCTTCCTGGTTATGGTGTTTAGGGCTAAAATAAAGACCCCGTACAAATAAAAAAAAAGACCCCCCGTGCAAATAACTTTTTTTTATTTGCACGGGGGGAGCGGTGTAAATAAGGTGTGTACGGGGCAGTGCAAATAGATTTTTTAAATATTTGTACGGGGCAGTGCAAATAGATTTTTTAAATATTTGTACGGCCCCCGTGCAAATATCTTTTTTCTTTAATTTATCTCTGGCCCATGGCCCATTGTTTACTTTTTTAGCTTTTTTCGTTGGAGGGCAATTGCTTCCTGTCTATTGACATTTTTATTTGGATAAAATAATAACCCCTCTGCAAATAAAAAAAATTATTCGCATGGAGGGACAGTCTGAATAAGATGTGCACGCCTTTCTTTCAAAAGCCATCTGTGAAGAAAAAGACAAAGGTAGCACAGATGGGCAGTCTACGCAGCATAGTATACAAGTATTGCTTAAGCAAACAAGACATTTTTTTTTTCTTCTTTTTTCTATTAGTATTTAGTTTATAAGCAGGAGAATATGGTCTATTGCCTATTTGATCCTGGTAGTATTTTCAGCTTCTTGGTCTTCAGTTAATTCCCGTCATAAGTTATTTCAAGCTCTTCTTCTCTTCTGCTTCCTTTCTGTTTCTCTAGCTCATATATCTACTTCCAAACTTATCCCGAATGATATCACAGCTTGGTGTAGTCATCCGTTCTGCAGCTTCCCACATCTTCTTGTCCCTACCGAAGAATCCCTGGGCTCGACTGTGGGCTAGCTCTTTGCGCTTGATCTCATTCAAACACTCGTTTCGCATATATTTTAAGTACGTTGTCTCGACATTTTCTTCCAGTTGAGTCAAAATCTGTTGTACTTTAACACCATTGATCACTTTGTTGAGATCTAACACATGTACGTCCCTCTTTTCACCACCACCAGGTTTCGTAAATGTGTTCCTGAATCTTCGTTCATTCACAAAGTAAGGAACGTGATGTGCGCTAGTAAAACGTGCTGATTGATAAGATCCATGTGCACCCAATGAGAAATCGGAGGCTGCAGGTGAGCTGTCGCGAGAGGAAGAGGAATCGCTATCTGAGAAAAAGTTTGATGTCAGGGAAATGATGAAGAGGAGGATCAGAGGTAGGATTTGAATCAGGCTGGAGAATCCACTAGTTGCACCGGCTCCCTGTGCCTGCTGCTGTGGTTGTCTTTGTGTTTGTTGCGTATATGGGCGGAAGGGTCGGGGACCAAATCCTGGTCCAGCAAACGTTGCAGAGTGGAATGCTATAAAAAAAATATAAAAAAACAGTCAGCTTAAGCCTTTGACCTAAAATGAAGTGTTAGATAACATCAAATAGTAGCCTGACTTACAACCACCAAAGCTGCCGCCTCCAAAGAACATGTTGAAAAGCTCCTCCGGCGAGATTTCTTCGCCAAAGCCGTTCATGCCATTAAATCCTTGGCCCATAGGCGATGCTCTGTCATAATTAACTCCAGAGCTCCTGCCACTCTCAGGTCCATGTTGATCAAAGATCGCTCGCTTTTGTGGATCGCTCAAAACTGTGAATGCCTTGGAGACGACTAATAAATTGACAGAAAAAAAGTGAGTGATTGGTGCAATGCTTTTATCAAAAAGAGATGCCATGAAGACTTAAAAAGCTGTTCATATCTATCCTTTTTTTGGTTCATATTTTCTTTTCAGCTCATAAAATGACCAACGTTTGTTCAGTATTATAAACAGAGCAATTTGATCTGATTTGGACACCTGAAGGTTTTTTTATTCTTACTCTTAAATGCTTCGTCCGCTCCTGGAGCACCGTTTTTGTCAGGATGCATCTGAAGTGCAAGCTAGAAATAAATTAAAGACAAATTATATTCTGAGTGTATGTGTCTCTTTTCCCTCTCATTCTTGCATGTCTTGATATAGGCTAGTAGAGAATGACGAATTTTTTTTACCTTGCGATAAGCCTTCTTAATATCTGCGTCTGTTGCATCCTTGCTGACACCCAAAACTTTATAAAAGTCTCCACCAGAAGATCGAATCTTCTTCACTGCAGCGACTTGCTCTGGGGTATATTCTCGTTCCACAGGCTTATGTTCTGGCGCTGGAGCTGAACGTGATCTAGGAGGGACAGAGCTAGATCTACCAGAGAACGATGATGACGATCCTGTTCCAGATCTTGATGATGATGCGGGTTTTGGTGAGCTCTTTGTACTACTTGGAGTGGCAGGCGAGTCACCAGCAGTAGATGTGGTGCTGGATGTAGTTGCTTGTCCTGCCTCTTCCTCATGTTCAACCTTGTGAAGGAATGTATTTGCTTCAGGTGTGGGGAAGAGAGAAACGGATTTGTTGCCAAATTTTCGTGCGCTTGCATAATTTCCAGAGTTCAAATGGCGTCGAGCAATGTCGAGGCAACGCAAGGCCTCATCCTTATTGACTTCCATGCCTGGAAATATAAAAGTATTATGTATTATGTGTGTATAATGAAAGAGGAATTGTGTTCAAAGAGTGTCAAAGAAACTAATAATAGTGAAAATAGAATGGTAATAGAAGATTGCTGAATAACTGTTCCCTTAATGCGGGATCTTTTTTGCCTGCTTGCTTGTTGGTGTGCACAAAGATGAACTCGACTTTGGAATGATGCTATACAGCAGGATGATAAGGAAGACAAGAGAGAAAAAGAAAGAAAAAGAAGGATGTGTAAAAAGTAATCGAATCAATGGCGAGATGCTACCAAGTCCAAGTAAAGAATCATGTGACAGCCCAATAAGGTTGATTTTATTAATTTACAGATGCACGAACTTGCGACACTTGGCAGATCCACACCGGCACGTTACCATGCCGTCAGTATAGCTGGACTCTTCAAAATCGTCGTCATTCCTAGGTGCGTGTGGAAGCCAAGGCTGGACATATTTTCCATTATAATCGAAGGTCAGTTCATCTCCTCGCTTTATCAATCTGTTTGACCAAAAGCTAAGAGTCATCATATCTAAATCTCCTGCTGTTTGTCCGCTCATGAGCATGTGTACCGAAAGATTTGGATCACAAGAGTGATTGAAAAAGTGGGTCTCATTGCCATAAGTCGAGGCATCGATTGAATACTTGGCTTCTTTTTCTGTGTTGTAGTCCAAGTCAAAAAGCCAGGTTGCGCCTTCTTTATCATAGACACGTCCACGAACCTCTGCCTCCTGGTTTGTGATGATTTCTCCTGTATACCTGGCAACAAAGGTTCGTGGAGGGATGGGTTCGTCTTGATCCAGAACGACGCCCCACCCTTTCACAGGAAACCTCTTGATCTTCATGGCAAACTTACGATCCTGTTGCGATGCTCTGGAGATGCAAGTCGGTCCACAGCCGCATTCTGAGTGACATTCGTACAACACCTTGTCCGCATGTACTGATACACGGCCGTCCCGTTCAAAGGGCAAACATCTGAAAGCGTTCTCCATCTCTGCCTCTGCCATACAAGGGCATTTGTTTTCAATACTGCATTCCCCTGGCCCACACTCACATCTGCTCGAGAAACTAGGATCTGGCTTTTGTACACCATGGCCATATATGAATTCATCAGTGTATTTAAATCCTGGTGGGCAGGCAGCATTATCGATGGTGTTTTCAACAGAAATTTTGGCTCCTCTAGAAGCCTTAAAGATGTCTTCAAATTCCTGTAATTCTTTTGAAAGCGGAGCTGCTGGGGGGATAGTCTTTGATCAAAAAGGGTGACAATAGCGACAGTGAGAAGCTAATTGGTTTGAATAGAACAATCGGAAAAGTCCTTGTGATGAAGACGTGATAGCTTACCATGATTTCTTGCATGGTTTTCACTACAATTTTTTTTTTAGATCCCATTTTTGACTCTGCATTTGATGACATTGACGACGCTGACGAAAGAGACGATGGTGAAGTTGACGAAGCACGGGACCTTGAGCCTACGGATGGGCCTTGATACGATGTCCGATCCCTACGTTCGTTCATGGACTTTAAAAAATCTTTGACTATCTCCTGGCAGTTATCAAGATTTTCTAAAGGTTCCCATGTGTTATCAGCATCACCGTACCCTTTCCACTTTACACGAAACTGTGGAGTATACTACATATTCATGTATGCCATTCCGGCATTAGATTAAAGAAATATTAGTGTGACTGGAAGAGCTTAAAATTCAATTCCTTATAACGGTACTTGGATTGATCATTGAAGATTTCTTTTTTATGAAATCCTTACTCCAGGCTTCAAATCACGGATCCCGAGGATGGCTTCTACCTATGGTTTCAATGAGCGCGAGAGGAAGAAAAGAGAAAAAAGAGGTTAATCAACGCATAAAAGCTTTATAGTAGTCAAAAGAAACGTCCTGATATATTATTGGACACGGACCTTTAGTTGGTGGCGTTTTTTTCTTTTTATCTCTTTACCTCGTATTCGTTTTGTAATAAAAGAGGATCATTTGCTGATAAACCCTCTGCGTTGGAGCCAATAGTTATGCTATTTTTTGAGGTGTCATTCTCGGATACTCGTCGACGCTTAGTGGGTTTTTTACCCATAGTTAAATGGTTAATTATGGAAGGTGTTAGAATTCGTCGAGAACAGGACTAAGAGTGCTACAACTGCGATGACTGAGAATAACAAGGAGTTTAAAGAACAGCAAGTTCCTGCATTTGCCACTTTTTTTTAGATGGAGCGAAATTAGATGCTTTTAAAATGTCAGAGGATGTAAGAGAAGATGCGAAAAGAGATTAAACGGTCAAGCACAATTAGTTGGTTCTTTTGATGTGAATGTCAGTCACATAATAATAAACTCAACACTTTGTGTTGTGTCCATGTGGAAATGGCAAGTGTGGAAAAAAAAAAAAAAAAAAACCTCCCCAGGAACAAAAAAATCGCCATATTTGGGTGTCCACAAGTCACTTTTCGAGCACAAAGAGCGAGCTGAACTAATTTCAGAACTGATCGGCAAACCGCCACTCGATCAGTCCCTCTTCTCTTTGTCGCTTCACTTCACCTTTTACTGTCTTTGTCGTTCACTCTCATCAGCAGCCTTTCATCCTTTTTTTTTTTTTTTTTTTTTTTTAAAGCCTGCTTAAATTCCATTCAGCGGCATTTCCCTACTCCTGCTTTACTCGATTTATTTTGATCTACACGCAACTCACTTTCATTCTCGACTGCAGTCCCCGACATTGATTATTCATATATTCCATTGCCCCATATTAACCCTAATATAAAGTCTGCTGCAATGTCCTCCAGTAGTGGGGTCACTTCCCCCTCAGCAACTACATCCTCCATCACACATCTGCAGCAAGCATTCAACTCTTCTCCTTCCCTCAAGCGAGCTCTTCCTCCAACAAGTGCTGTGGAACCGCAACCTCCGTATATTGATGTATGTCGCTATTTTCAATTGCTTCCCCAATTTTTCCAGCGCTTTAAGGCGAGTGTAATCAGAGTATCTCATGCTCTATCCTACCTTTTTTTCTTCATCGGCACCGTTTTGCTTTCAATTTAGGTCTTGATTGCTGGTGGTCTCGGAGGAACGATAGCCGATTTCATCATGCATAGGTAAAAAAAAAACTGTTCGTCCATAAATGAGAGCGCATGGATGTCTGTGCTTTCTCAACATTAATTGTCCATGCATTTATTTAGTGTTGACACAGTTAAGACAAGGTTGCAAGGGCAGCCATCCGCCAACCCTCCTAAATACAACAACATGTTCCATGCTTACAGCACAATCTTAAGAGAGGAAGGTGTCTCTAGAGGACTCTACAGCGGTGTAGCTCCGGCCATGACTGGTTCATGTAAATATTTTTTTTACCTCGTGATAAACATTATTGATTTTATAAAACGGTTCCTTGGTTCTTATTCTATTTTTTTTTTTTTTCCTTCATTACGATACATAGTACCAGGAACTACTCTTTACTTTGGAACGTATGAATATACCAAACGTACGCTGACTGCAGCAGGATGTCCCGATACATTGGCTCATCTGGCGGGTGGATCAATTGGTGATTTCTTTGCATCATTTATTTACGTTCCCTCAGAAGTCCTTAAGACTCGTATGCAGCTTCAAGGACGATATAACAACCCATCATTTATCAGTGGATACAACTACAAGAATACATTGCACGCACTTCAGATGATTGTGAAGTATGATGGTATTGGAGCATTGTATCAAGGATATCGTGCTACCCTTTTGAGAGATGTCCCATTCTCGGCCCTCCAATTTGCATTTTATGGTAAATGACTCAAACTTTTAGCTTTCTTCGCTGATTCACATTCTAAGCAATGCTTCTAATATATTTAATACACTTGGTCTTTTTTTTTTTTTTTTTTTTTTTTTTTTCAACATTTAGAGAAATTCAAGGTTGAAGGACGGAGATGGGAAGGACGAGAAGATGGTCAGATGTCATTACACATTGAGACCTTATGTGGTGCTATCGCTGGAGGGATGGCGGGATTTTTAACTACACCCCTGGATGTTATGAAGACGCTTTTGCAAACTCAAGTGAAGAAGCCGACAGTAAGGGCCGCTAGATTGTTTTATTATTGCTATCGTTACAAGTAAGCATTATTAATCTAACGTTGCTTAATCTTAAATTCCTTTGTGTGTTATTAACTAGGCATCAATACCAACTTCAACCGCAGTTACAACAACAATGACAACGGCAGTGGCAGCAAATACCATCACAAATGCAGCGGCGCAACAAAAGTACTATGTAGGAATCTGGGATGGACTCAAATGGAACCTGAAGCATCATGGTGTAATTGGAGGGTTGTTTCGAGGTGTAGGCCCGAGAGTATTTTGGACATCATTACAGAGTGCACTCATGTTTGTTATTTATGAGCAGGCTATCCATCTTCAAGAGAATATGCGATATTTCGGACAATGGCCATATGGATCGGGCTCGAGTTAAACGCGACTCTTTAAAGCTTTCGCTCTTTTTCTTTTCTTTTTCTTTCTTTCTTTCTTTCTTTTTTTTATTTAATCATATCTCCAACAAAAGAATTAAGAAAGAAAAGGAAAAAAAGCAACCGTTTTTTTTTTCTTCATTGTACAAATCCTATAGACTGCTCACTTTCACCATGTTTCTTTCTATTTTTCTCCTTTTCCCCCCCATTTATAATATATGCATATATATATATTTTATTAATTCCAAGCATTTTTTTTTTTTTATTTACTCTTGTTAACGTTCGCATCCTCATCCGAATCTATATTTCTGTCTCACGAATAAAATATAAATGGACATATTTGCATGCTAACACTCTCTTAGTGTGGGATGATACGCATTCTCACTAGCAGGAATGGCTTCCCACGCTTGAGACAAATATCCAGCGAGGCCCTGGGCAGTTGTAGGAGCCAATCATCTGGATCTTTTCAATAGAAATCAATTAATCTCTTTGATTGATGATAATGGAGCCGATAGAAGTCCTTTATCGCCTGACTATCCAGTTTTCTCAAATGAACAACAGCTGCCTTGCTAAGATGCATTGAAGATTTACTTTGATAAGAGCTGCAAGACATGAAGACATAGAGCAAAAGTTATATACCGTGTCCTCGGTTTCCTTAAATGCGCTGAAAGTACGAGGTACAAATCAAATCTCGTACCTCATTAAAGGCTTGCCTTGAAGAAATGAAAACAGAAAACAACAGATTTATATCACTGCACAGGGGCTGAGAACACTGAATACATGAGAAATACATAAGCAGATTTTGGGCCAGTGTGAAGGACTATTTTGAAACAGGCGATTAAAGCCTTGTCAAGGAAGAACGACAGAAAAGGAACTTTTTTTTTGTGTATCAAATAGGGTGGATTCAGATGCCTCCTTTTGCTTCAACAGCTCCAGCACATTTGTGTCAAAGCAGAGTTATTCGTCGGCGTACAGATTCCAGTATTAATAAAGGAGATAAGGAGATAAGAGGGAAGCCGTTGGCTGCGTTAATTACCTGGAATGAAAATTACTTAATCACCCTCTTCTTGTTGTGTGGGGTTCTGTACAACGCCTTGTAGATGGATGGGAGAAGGAGGGCAAGAGAGGGGTCTTGGTAGTCTTTTGGTGTGCGAGAATTTGATAGTCCACACAAATCTACAAAATGGTTAGGTATTCAATATGATATATTGAATTATAGCAAATAGAGAAGTGAGCTTCGTTGACATAGCCATGACTGAGGAAGATCAGGTCGCGTTGACCGTCTGTCTTAGGGATTTGTTTACACAAGGAGCTGCTGAAAACAAACTATAATGAAGACTGCAAGATAAATAGAATACATCCAATTTATGACTTTTTGGCAAGGACTCATTCATGGGCATGTTAAGGTCTGCTGCGCCACAGTGCCAGTCCCGATTCTGATCAAAGCCACAGCCTGTGATTGTTAAATAAGATCCAAGCAAATAAACAGTTGGTTTCTCTATCTCACTTTCAACAAACTGTACTTAACAGAACCGACATTCACTCCACAGCTAGGCTTATTACATCAATCACTAAAAAAAAGGAAGCAATTTCAGGACTAAAGAAGGAATACGCGAGCAGTTTGATTGCACAAGAAATAAGTGACAGGATACGAAAAAAAAGGGCTCCATATTGCATTGGGAAAACCTATCTCGATCCACTTTTCTCAAACTATTCTTGGAGTATACCCTCGGAAGAAAAATAAAAGAAAAAGCCACGACACACTCCCTTACCTGAGCTAAAGGAAAAGTGAAGGAATAAAGACAGATCTCGATGGCATCAATAAAGGTAGAACAAACAGGCTCTATTATATCTACGGGTCCACAGATTGTCCTCCCTGGAGATCTATTACCATCTGCGGAGACAGGACTGTTAGAGGATGCCCCCACGGCACCAGTGATCAAACTCGGGCCAGGTCTTCAACCTATGGATGATGATAGCATTGCAGCCGTCAAGGCTGGTGTGTTAAAGCATACAGCGGTTGGAAATCGGTGGTGGGTCGAAAGTAATCAGCGTCGCGTAAGTTTTTTTTTTTTTTTTTTTTTTTTTTTTTTTGGTAGTATCTAGTAGCCACTATTCATTGTTCTTTTAGGTAAGTAGCCTGAAGATATTGTTTACTAATGAAAAGTAAAACTGTTTGCTTGCTTTTTTTATTTTTTTTTTTTTATTTTTTTTTTTTTAAAAAAAAAAAAAAAAAAAAAAAAAAAAAAAACGACAGTATGTAGCAGCAGCAGGAGAATCAGTGATTGGGGTAGTTGTTGGGAAGACAGTAGAACATTATAAAGTGGATATTGGGACAGCTCAACCGGCGCTTCTGGGTGTTTTGGCTTTTGAAGGGGCCACCAAACGTAACAAACCTGATATCAAGGTAACATTGATATGCATATTTACATTTTGAGATAGTAGCCAAACAGCCAAAAAAAAAAAAAAAAAAAAAAAAAAAAAAACATTAAAACTTCTTACTTGATGCTTCTTCTGAACTGATAGATTGGTGCACTCATCTACTGTAGAGTATCACTGGCTAACAAAGATATGGAAGCAGAGTTGGAATGCTTTAATCCTTCAACGGGAAAAGCTGATGGGTATGGGGAATTGAAATCTGGATTCTTGATCAAGGTTTCTCTGGGTTTGGCTCGCCGGCTATTAGATCCCAAGACTCTAATCTTGCGACTGTTAGGTCAACATATCCCCTTTGAGACCGCTATTGGCATGAACGGTAAAGTTTGGATTCATTCTGCAGAGCCAAAGCATACCATCTTAATTTGCAATGCCATCAAGAATTCTGAGTATTTGAACAAGGATGAATGTGCGGTTATGGTCAAAGCTTTGTTCGAGAAGCTGTGAGAGAAAATTAAGAAAAAGGAAAGATAGCAAAAAAAAAAAAAAAGATGGATATGAAGAGAAGCAAATAGACATATGAAAGCACATTAAAAAAATGAGGACCCTGTAATTTATTGATTTTTTTTCCTATTAATAAACTCATGTCCGTGCAAAGACTTTGGCATCATCAAAGGTTCTACTCTCCCCATCAGAAGGTAATGCAGATGTAGAGGAAGAAATTAATGATGGTGGTGGTATTGAAGGGTCAACTGAGCTGCGCCTCCTATCTGTAGGCTGTGGTAGCCTCGAGTATCCTCTCACTTCGCCGTTTGGTGTTGTTGTTGTCGTAGGTTGTGCTGCTTGTCCCCAGAATAACGCCTTTGGCACACGACTGTCAGCCATACTAAGGTTGGATATTGGTGCTGCTGGAGTAGGGATACCGTTTCCAACACTAAAGCCCCTGGAGAGTCCAGATTCCGCTTTTTTACTGCTATTACTATAATTAAGGTCTGTCCTTAGTTCATGTAAGGGCCCTAATGGCGGCAGCACGATGCTAGAAATTTGGTTCTGTAGGTACTGATCCCGGGTCTGAGGAATATCCTCTGGCAGCACAATGGGGGCCTCTAAAACTTTAGGATCTGTAGCTCGGATTTCAAGTTTGCTGACAATACTAGAGGTTGATCTCCCAGAGTTTTTATCCCCTTTGGTCTTGTTATCTATGTTTTTATCCTTGTCGTCTCTTTGAATAGATGTTTGTCGATCACGCATACTGTCGAGGGAAGTTGCAGACGAAGCAGCCATTCGACGAACATCTTCTTGGATCTGATTATCGAAATCCACAGGCCGGAACCCATGTACCCCTCGCGGGACTATAGTAGTGGTGATCGTCTTGTTGACAGAGTTGACAGGCGTCATTAATGAAGAAGAAGACTGGGGATCTTCATAAGACATATTCTTTCCTTCGGTAGCAGAAACCGTGGTTACCGGTGGTTTTGGCGAAGAAGCCAGAGAAACAGCCGCCGCCGATGCTGCATCTGTGTCCGATAAGAATGAATGCTTCTGAATCTCGGACGAGAGTGCCGATATAAATATCGAGGAGTTGGACGATGTGGTGGTGGTGAAGCCAGAGGAAGTCGTGGAGGAGCAAGTCGACGTTTCAGAAACACCATAGTCTGTCTTTCTCTGGGGGTTATTGCCTTGACCTTGATCTTGGCCTCGATTAGGGGCCGCAGTCGAAGTAGCACCTATGTGGGCTACTGCACTATCGGCTGTCAGTGCGCTGGTGCTGCTTTTGCAGCGGTGAAGTTGATCACGATCGACATCGTCTGTGCCGCTGTATGACTTGACCATCATCTGATCGCCATTGTTGTTATGATTTGTCCGTCCAAATGCGCTGCCGCTACCACTCCGTGACAGGGCGGTGGCAGTAACAGCAGTAGAAACGTTTTTGAGGTTTTTGTTACCGTCTCGGAAAATGGCTGGGACGATAATAGGTGCTGAAGAACGCTTTGGATTCATACTGGGCCGAGTTACTGGTGGCATTGGCATTTGAGTGCGTGGTGATACGTTTTGTGTATGGTCAGCATGTGGAATGGCGCCATAACTAAAGCCATGGCTGTCCATGGACATTGGTCGATGCTTACTCTTGGGTGGGACAATAGGCAATCGCGAAGTTGATAAATTTGCAAATGATGTCGAATATGGTGAAGCTGCGGTAGTGGCAGTAGCAGCAACTCTTGAGCTATTAGGCATGGTCTCCCCAACTGTAGGCCGCCTATTCGTTGGTGCGGCTTGTGTTGGTGTCGATTGCTGTTTCCGCTCCATACTCCCGTCCTGGCCATCTCGTGGCAACGGGTTATAGCCCCTTCCACTCACTTCGCGGTGACCAATGCCACTATTTGCGCTAGCAGGAGTTACTGCTACTGTATCATCATACAAGCTCCCTTTGATAGAGGTTTGGCGGCCCAGCTTTGGGGACAATGGAGGCGTAGCAGTGCTTTCACGGTAGTTTGCATTGTTCAAGCTATAGCTCTCAAGTGACCCAATGACTGCGGCTTTTCGAGTGCGTCCCACAGCATTAGCAGAAGCAACGCCTGAGTGCTGCTGTTGCTGCTTTTGTTGTTGGAGGGCATGGACTGATGGATGAAGCTGTTGCAATGGGCTGGGTTTGTACTGCGAGGAGGCTCGAGCAAGGGGACCCCCATACATTGGCTTTTCGCCAATGCTGGTGTTGCTGTTTTTATGTTCGTCAATCCTGCTGCTACTGAATTGTCCGTTGAGATGAGGAGTGCCTAAAGGAACCCTTAGGACCTCCCGAGCATTGTATTTGGCATCAGAAAGCGGATATTGGTGTTGGTGCGTTTGAACGTGATTGGGCATTGGAATGGATGTAGTTGCAACGGAGGGTTTGAAAGGTGGGATGACAGGCAATTCTCGTGAGAGTCTCGAGGCTGTGAGGCGAGTGGTGCATGGAATCATGGAGAGTTGGATAGTAAGGTCCTCGATCTGAGCACTGAGGTCCTGGTTCTGGATATGAATCGATCGCACGCGCTGAAATTAAAAGAATATTAGCAACTGCAAGATACCCTTCCAACAGGCTCTATCTCTACAATGTAATAAAAAAGCGGGATAAAGCAATTCTTGTCTATTTACCTCAAGATACTCTTCCAATTGGCTCTCCTTTATACTCTTGGCGAACGCAAGGCCCGGCGCCGAGATGAACATGTCAAATATAAGCTTGGACACAAGCCTCAAGTGCGTATTCTTAATAAAAAAAAGTTAGGGCTTTTATTATCCCTGGATACTATGTTTCACAACATTATCAACAATCAACAATCAACATGAAACTTTGTATTTCCTTACCAAGTATGCCAAAATTTCCTTCTCCTCGCCAGGCTCGAACTTGATTCCTACATAGTCACTGCTACTAATAGCCTCTGCTGTTGTAGGAGGTATAATCGCACTATTCCGTCTCCCTCTCATGTTATCAAGTAATGAGCCTGAGGACCCGACACCTAGCGCCAGCAAGCCTTGGCCTTTTGAAGAAAATGAGCCGCTCTCCCTTCCTCCAGTTCCTCCAATTCCATTTCTGATGAGCCCTCGCGTATCTTCCGTCGCCTCTATGGATTGTCTCGACGCTGTTGTTGTCGAAGCTAATGTTGATGGGATATCAACACCGCACATCTTAATAATCTCTTTCAAGTGCGTAATCCATTCAGAATAATTGTAGATACCGCGATTGAAATCCTCGTCACTACTGATGCTTGTCTCCCATGGCAACGACGAAAGGCCATTCTTTGTAATATTGCCCTTGTTTTGGTCCGCTACTGTCTCTTTCAAGATGCGGTCTCGCAAGTCAGGCTCTACTGCAAGGATTGCCGCTAGAATACTAACAGATGCCTGGGCATTTGAAAATACTGGAGTTTGATCCAAGGAGAGACCTGACGAAGGCTGAAGGAGCCCTGACGATGATCCACTGTTCCCGAAGCGTATGGATATTGGCTTTGGGACGGAAGATGAGCGAGATCGAGCTCCTGAAGTAGAGCACGCTCCCGTAGCCACAGAACTATTTGTTCGACCACTAGATTTAGGATCTCCTTTAAAAAATCCAGTCTTTGACTTCACTCCAAAGGAATGAGGAAGAATGGGGGTAGAATGGATGGCGAGGGTACGCATAAGACCAAAGAATACGCTTCCTTCCATAACAAGAGAATCAATACCTCCTTCAAGCGTGACGATCGCCCTGATACACTGAAGGACCTGATGCAAAAGGCGTTCACGATGTCCTAGTTTCCTGTGTTTTTTTTTTTTTTTTTAAAAAAAAATAAATAAATAAATAAATGTGCCCAGATGTCAAGTTATTTTCGACCACTTAAAGGAAAGCACGCTTACATTTCTTCTGATTTCTGTAAATGAGAACAGAACTCCAATAATGCAAGAGATCCGCCAGCCTTGATAAACTCTCCTGTCCAACGGATTGAGCCGTTCCGAATCAATACACGTAGCTTCTTTAGCACCTGCTCTCGTTCTTCCAGTGCTCTCTTCCCATTCCTTGCGCTGCTACCGCTGTTATCACCGCCGCTCAGCAGTGATGATAGATGCTGCTGGAACGAAGAAGGAAGATCGAAGTGGGGTGAGGATGGACTATTAAAATTGCCATTGCTAAAAGACCCTCCATATTGGTCGAGGCTAGTGGCGCTCTTGTTCTTACACATGTCAAAGGATCCATTATTGTTATTGCCATTATTGTTGCTATCGTCGCTTTTGCTGGCGCTGTTATTATTTAAGAAAAATAACTCTCGAGACGATCGCTCCTTCTTCTTCTCCTTATTATCTTTACGCTTTCCTGCGAACTCCAATAGTGCCTCAATAAAGAACTGCGGCGGCATGGTCTGAGGTGTCTGATACAGAGTTGGATTAGCCTCGTTGGATTGTAGCATAGTCCATTTACGGTCTTTAGGCAGTAATTCCAATTGCGCCCTCGTGGTAGCAGGAAGCGATAATGACGCCTAAATGGTCAAATAAAGAATTACGAGTAACATGATGAATACAAGCGTCTACATTATTGTAAAATATCAAATATCCTCTGTGAAATATCGCACGTTAAGCTTTACAATCATGTTGTCAAAAGCGATGTCAATTGGATCCTTGGCGATCTCATTCATTGGATCTTGCTCTATAGAGCAGCCGCGTGTGGATGCAGAAGCGTTGCAATCCCCTTCTCTCGTCGTTTTAAGCTCGACTGATGCTCTAGTTGCATAAATGGCCGTGTGGGTTAAGGAAGAGTTCTCTAAGATAGGCTGCCTTTGAATTGGGGGTTGTTGGTGTGCTCTGTCCTCATATACTGAGCGCCGCTTATTTTGTGTATGGTTACTGTTTACAGCAAGATGGGCTGATGACGAAAGCAGCATCGGGTTCTTAAAGTTATCTCCTCGTTGTCGTTCACGATCTTCATGATTCTGGCCTTGCGGTGTAGCTGGCATGGAATGCCGTCGAGCCTTGCCATCCACTCCACTGTTGCTGCTGTTACTGGCCTCCTTGCTGTGTCGACTACCTGTTGAATTCTGCCGACCTAGCGATGATGTGAGGATGACAGCGTGGGCTCCAACCCCATTATCTGTGTCTGCTTCCTTGCGTTTCTGTCTGAGCTCTTCGAATCCTCGCTCCCATTCTTGTTGTGAGGGTAGCCGAGGCCGATTGGAGCTTGGTGCCAGTGCCAACAGTTGGTTTAGCATAGCAGAGTTACTCGGTATGACTTCAGCAGTTAAGAACCCTTGGGCTCTCTGCTGCTGTTGGTGCTGCTGTTGATGTTGTGAAGGTATGGATGACGCAGAGGATGAGGATGGGGTAGACATAGCTGGCTGAATAGGCAAGGTGTCGCGAGAAATGTTTTGGGTTGGTACTATATTAGTTTTCCTGGGACCAGAGGAAGATTGTGAGGATAATGGCGAAGGAAGAATTAGGTCTGCTGAAAGTCTCTCCTGTTCCGGTGAATGACGCGTCTGTTGCTGCTGTATCTCAAGGGCGTTAAGAGGCCTATTCTCTGACATCTGATAAGGGAAATTATGGGATCTATGCGGTTTTGGCGTTGAGATTGTTGACAAAGTCGATTCCAGTGATGATATTGATGATAATGATACTGCTGTTACTACTGTTGTTTGAGTAGGCGCAGGCGCCCCCATCATGGGTAGCGCATGGTTCAAGGGGTTCGTTGGGCCTGCTGTAGCTAAAGCAGTATTTGCCCCAGGTCCGAGACTTCGTATTGAGCTCCGTCGTGAACTTCCAAGGCTTGAATGCCCTTGGTCATTTATATCGTAGATATCAAACGTCATATCTTCCATTTGCAGGCTGCTGTCACTGGCATTGAGGCTTTTATCGTTATTATTAACACTACTCCTTTCCTGTTGCTCAAGACAATTACTGGCACAGGCTTTCGATAGATCATCATCCACGACCGCGCCAGTTAAGCGATTATTATTATTATTGCTATTACTATTACTATTATACATGTTGTTGTTGTTATTGTAGTTGTTGTTGCTGTTGTTGCTACTGCTATTACCGATGCTGTGTGGCTGCTGTGAGTGCTGTAGTAACTGCTGCTTGAGAGCATGCACCTTGGACTGATATTTTGGAGGTGTGGGTGACAAGGGTCTATCGCAGGGAAGAGATTTTGTTTGTGTTTGTATTTGTGTCATTGTACTCTGTAATGCATCCCTTTTATTGTTTTTATTGCTGTCATTCGTGTCCAACATGTCATCTGTGTGATGCTGGCCTGCAGAGACTTCTGTTGTTGATGCATACAATGGTAATCCTTGCAGCTCAGCAGGTGAACCTGCTACAACTCTTGGTGCTGTTTGTTCAGATGGAAGCGAAGTTTGTTGATGCTGTTGCTCAACCATTGGTTGATAATCATCACCTGCGATTACAGTACTCTGACGAGCCTTGCCTCTCCAGAATGTGTCTTTGCTCGGCGGCGCTGGAGGTGAGTTAGATCGAGGCTTGTTATTTGTAACGGTTGTGGGGAGCGTGCATGGGGATATTATGGTCGTAGGCGAAGCAACAAGGTTAGTCTGTGAAGGATTCGCGTTCCTAGACTTTAGATTGAACAGATCAATCTTGTTAGCAAGCTTCTCTTTTGCCTTTGACTTGGGATTGTTATTGTTGGCCTTGTCTTTGTTTTTGGAGAGAAGAGACATCTGTGGAGAAGGGAACTGTCGCTGTTCTTTCTTTTTGAGGTCTGGAGAAGTAGTTTCTGGGTGAAAAAGATTTGGAGAGAGAGGAGAAGGGCTCTCTGGTTCCGATGATGTTGTTAAGACCTTGGTGTTGTTGGAAGAGGAAGAGGTCATAGACAACCTCCGAGCAGCCTTGGCAATCTGGCCACCGATATTTGAGAATCGAGTCTTGACAGGAGGTGGTGGTGAAAAAGGACGAGTAGTAGCAGTGTGAGGAGCAGACAGCGGTGTATGTTCTTGCCTGTCCTGGTGATAGTGCTGTTCTGGATCAATCATGATATCCCTGTCTATCGTGTGATTATTGTGAACGCTATAGTGTCGTGCCTTTTTTCAACAATTGAAGCGTTAATTAAGGAAAGTGTGGACTGCAATGCGTTTTCGAAGTTGCAAGGCTGAGATGAGAGAAGAAAAAGAAGTTAAAGAAAAGCGGTGAGTGAATAAAGGTGATATGGAATGGTTTACAAGTCGTTCGCATTGATTATGAAGCAGGCACAACAGAAAGGGAGGAAGTAAATGAAGAAAACAAATTAAGCTTGCCTGTCTACCTGACAGTCTGTCGAAGTAATGAGTTAAATAATGAAGGAGCAGGATAATGCAGCAATGTATTCGCGACTCAAGGCTTAAAGTAATGGGGCAAGGATCCATGACAGCGAGAAAACACCCACATTCGATGTTAACCACATAGACATCCACAGTGATGAAAAAAACACTTCAATGGTCATCCATTGCACAATATGTTTGTGTCGGAGTTACTCAACCTCAAGTAAACTAAACTTGTAAAATAATGTACGTTTATATATTAAGTATGTATACATAATGTTGTTATGATATGCAGAGTTCAGGCACCAGAGAGGGATGAATGGTCATCAGTAGTTTTTGTTGCAGGAAGCTTTTTTGTCCCCCGCAACGGACGATCAACTTATCCAGATGAGGATGACTTTTTTTTCTTCCATGCCTCGATGTGCCTTTTACCCATGTTGCCTTCAACCTTGATAGCTATCTAACTTATATATACACGCCGACAGATCATGACCATCTGCCTTCTGTACTCGACTAAATAAAATATGTTGTTCAAGGGAGACACTCTCCCGGACTGATTATTAAACGCTCACTCCTTTTCAAAGTACATCGCATATATACTTCCTCATGGTTGACCCAAAATACTAATCTGTACTGTTTTAGTTTTAGAACTTTGAGTATTGAGGGATGAAGAGAGGTAAGTGAGCACTGCAGACTTACAGGTGGATGAAAAACCGATTTAGAACGAAAGGTTTGTTAAATACAGAGAAAGGATGAGGATAGAGGCACCAGTGATATAATAGTGAAATGAAGGAAAAAAAGAGAATGTACGAAGGAAGGGAAAGGAAGGGAAAGAAAGAGCAGAAGAGATGGAGTAAAAAATAGGGGTAAAGTGAAATGAAGAGAAAGCTTAGGAGGTTTTCTCTTATTCTCTTCAGCATCCATCCTTGTCAAAAGAGAACACAGACCCGTACGCTTTGTTAGTGCTTGTGGTCTGATAAACACTTACAGTTGGACCTGCATGCCCATGCCCTGTAATGTTCAGTTCTGTTAGGGACAATACATATTCACATCAACCATTCAACAAAACATGCACCGTTTTTCCTCAGCTCTTAATTTGAGACAGCTCTTATGTCATAGACCTTTCTTTTCTAGTTGTACCTTTTTTCCACAACAGCACGTCTACGTCCTTTGTATCCCCAAGAAAAGAAAGTGACCCTCTTGACTAATAATTTTCTTCATGAGAAAATATATAATCATAAATGTGTCTAGCTTCCCATACCATAAAAAAAAAAGTAAGTATGCGTTTTACCTCCAATTACAAGCCAGGCTCTCACAGAATTCCGATTGCCTCTGTTAACCTAGCCTCTTTTTCCCACCTCCATCTGGCCCAACCCAGCCGCAGCCAGAAACAAGGACAGTCTCTGCCAATGCACACTGCCTTTTCTCGTACCATGTATCACCATCACCAGGATTGTTTATCCCCTACTTTTAAATTACCCCTAAAATTGAGGTCATCTGGCCATTTTTTTTTTTTTTTTTTTTTTTTTGTATTTTACGACTTACCGGGATTCCTGTCTCCTGAAGGATGGTCCAGTTTCCTGTTCTTATTTTCCACATTTTAGAGCTTCTGTGCTCAACGATTGCTTTGTGGTATTTATCAAAAATAAAAATACATGTTTATCAAGTAATAGAAACCATGATGTCAAAGAAAGGAAAACTCATTTTGGATCAAGCGGGACTTTTACAAGCATGGTGTGCGTTCATTAGTGGCGCGTCACCAAGCGAAGGATTGTAGTGAACATGCATCTGAAAAAACGTCTCAATTGCAGTCCTGGGTCTCTCTTCTTTGCTTACACAAATGGGTTCTTTTGTAGCACAAGTTGAATGTGTCCACGGTCCTACTTACGTGGCTACGTAATGTATGGTGATAATGTCACACTATACGATAGAGCCCATCTAGAGATCCTCATTGCATTTGCATCCTAACACTGTGCACGCGTTCTGCTTTTCCTCCTGACATCGGCCCCACAACCCACCCTCCTTTCTTTGTAGGTGTTTGATCCTAACATGGCGATAGTGCAAAAAGGTAATTAAAGTTGTGAATAGTAATCAGTCATCTGATCCGACAGCTAAATTTGTCATTGAATGTTGCCCTCAGCATTGAAGAAAAAGTGGGCGTTCAAATCTTTTTGTATCAATGGCGCAATGGCAAAAAGTATTGGATTGAATAAAGCATAACTCCCATGGTTGCCTTGTGGAGAAGTATCTCTCCAAAAATACATGATTTTATTCTTGGATGTAGTCTGGGACAAATATATAAACATATCTATATACAATGTTTGTTGTTGTTTGTTGTACTTGGACAAGCAAGCATGGATGTGTGAGGATGTGCATTTTGGTATAAAATGGGAGAGTCACTATGGATTTTGTAATATCTGCAAGAGTGGTGTCCGTCTTTTTGGCAGGGAAAACATTACAAATAGCTCGTTTCTTGGTGCCGAAGATTTTTCGACATTCTTACCCCTATTGTGAGTGTTTTCTGAAATACCGTCAAGTCTTGAAGAGAAAGGAAAGTGAGCATAAATCTTGATCCGTGGGAAATGAACTTGCATCTTGGATACTCGAGAAGGTGATAAAATAAGATCCAATAGATCCACGAGGAAGATGGGCTTGATTTTATTAATTGGTTTATTGCATAAGCCGGTGACTATGAGAGCCCACCCTTCTCTTAATCAATCATCTAATCCATCTTTTTTTTTTTTTTTTTTTTTTTGGGCGGGGAGGAGAGGAGTTAGCTCAGAAACATGATGTGAGGAACGTCATACTTCCTTCGAGAAGCAAAACGAAACTGATAAAAAAGATTGCATTGCATGATAAGGACATGCCGTGTCCGAGAGAAGCAGATTTGGCCCAGACTACCTCTTGTACTCCAAGAAAAATGCCGTTGGGAGGGTCCAAAATACTCCATTCATTTCCTCTCCCCTGTCTGAATTATGATAACATATTTCATTCATGCAAAGTTTCTTATTCCTATCTATTTCATCGTCATCATAGTAAGGAGCACGATCAAAGTTGAGGAAAAAGCATAAACAGCGACAGTATACAATGAATTCACTCGGATATGCGGAAGGAATGAAAGAATCGAAGAGGAAAGGGGACATAGCATGGGGATTCGTAATACTTTTTTTCTTGAGCAACCCTCATGATAAATAGAGGGAATGGCTTTTTTGAAGATGGGAGATGAATATTTATTTTTAAAGCTTCGTAGGGTTACACAGCAAAAAAGTAATGGACCATAGTAGATTGAGTTGGCGAGCACAAAGGAAACACACAACAGGTAGGTCAAAGAACCAAAAGAAAAGACTTGCGGAGGATGATTGAGGTTATCAGTTTGATGGCGATGATGACAACGGGAAGAGTCCTCTTTGGTTAGGCCTTCATTTTGACTTTATATTATAAATTTTCATCTTTGTTAGAATGAGAGCGGCTCCATTTTTTATGGGCAAAATATAATATGTATCTCATAGACACCCGCATGCTCCACTGACGCAGAAAGAGGTAACACAGATGAAGAAAGAAAGAAACAATACCCCCAGGAGATCTTGGAATGCGGGTTCAACCATTTGTGCTGTCTGCTGCAGAGTAGGGCTGTCATGGAGTTTGAGGGGTCTTTTGCTCCTCTCTGGCGCCAATTGTCAGGTACCAAATAAAGCTAATCAATCTCATCAATGTTTAACAAAGACGATCCATCCGAAGACTGACCTCTCTTGTGTGTTGCACTCTTTGTGCTCTATTTTCTCTTAGCTCTTAATTCAAGCATCCGACAACAAAATAGGAAGGCATGAAAACTTTGTCTTGCATGGCTCTCGGTTCATTTTGTTCGCATGGTGTTTCTTTATTCTTTTGCTCTATGTGAGTATCCTTCCTCCCCATCCTCCCCGCATTATCGCTTTATGCTGTTCTATCAGCTGGGTATGTGAGAAAGAAGAAAGATGAATGAAAGGCATCTGTGCACGTTCTCATGCCACAGTTACAGATGACAACTAATAAATGGCGTAAAAAGAAGGCAAGCGTAATAAACCAGCTACTGTTCAAGGTGTATCTTACGACTGTGGAGGAAAAAAAAAAAAAAAAAGCAAAGGTGGATGGTCAAGCCTGTGCGGAGCAAACGCATCTGATTGTTTATTTGAATGTTTGTTTCTATTTCCACATAATTCTATTTTCTACATCTTCCTCTTCTCTCCCTTCTTTTTTTTTTTTTTTTTTCTTCTTTTTTTTTCTTCCTTGATGCTCCTTCAACTCTTTTCAATTACCTCTACTTTATTCGCCTCTTTTCAATTACCCTACTCCCTCCATCTTCTTTCCTCTTTGCTCTCTACTGCTCCTACCTCTCACTCTCGTCTTTGTCACCAATTATTAATTGTTAACTATTAACTATCAATTCTTAATACACTTATTCATCCTCCATATCATTATCTTTCTTGCCTTGTTCTGTACTCTAATCGTGCTTATTTTCATCTCATCTCATATTCATTCATTCATTCATTCACTTCATTTCATTTCATCCTTCTCTTCAGTAAAACAATATTCTCCTCAAGGTGAGGTCATATCTCTCTCTCTCTTTCTCAGATACACATTTTACCGCAGTAGTAGCACACCGCCTACTCTCTTCCTTTATATTCAATTCAATTTATTAATAATCTGTGAAAGGAGTGGACGAGCCAGTCAGTCTACAAATTCCATGAAAGCAATGGTGATACGCCCAAGCGGCTTGTTTCTTGGAATAATAATTAAGTACTGCGCCCATACATGCCTAGTTGCCGGGAAAAAAAAGGCATTCTAAAAAAAAAAAAAAAAAAAAAAAAAAAAAAACGCGTCCATGCCACGTTCTTGAGGATAAAAAAAAGTTTTGATTCCTTACTGTCATATTAATTCGAGCCTTTTAATGATTGAACGGTTTCTTCCGACAAGAACGAAGAAGACTGATCTGATCAACCCAATTGTTATTCCAGTTCCTATCTTTGTTATCTAAACCATTGTATTGAATACTCTTTCAACTACAAATCATGGTTATAATATCCCCTATCCTGCCCATTACAGTCATCTCGGAACTTGGGTGATATTCATGCATTGGAAGAAATGAAATACAATTTCAATCACATATTTATAATAGCTGATCAGGATAGGCGCATAAAGATAATGCCACTCTCTGCCCCCTTCATATGCCTTATTCGTTCAGTAGATATGTTTTTGTATCCCCAGGTATACTCACCCCTCACTGCATCCCCTGCCTGGATGGGTCCAATGGGACATTGTTGCTGGAAAATAGAGCAAGTTTGAGAATGAAGTGAGATAGAGGACAAAGGCGTAAGGATAGTGTTGATTCTAATGAACCTATATTTTCGCCTATTCTGGTTGCCTGCTTTTGCATACTTGCACCTAGCGCTGTATGCTCGTTGCACAGCTCGCATTGCAAGCCTCCTTTGGATCCTTCATATTTCTTTTTTCTCCAAAAATCGTGGTACACCCTGGCCTCAGTGGTTGTGGTAACCTTTTCTCATCAATCTCTTGTCCTTCATTTTATTTTATTTTATGTTTGTATATGGTGTTCTGTTTCTTTCCTATCCATCCATCGCTTTTTTTGGGCGTCACTAAACCCTTTTTTTTTTTTTTTTTTTTTTTTTTTTTTTTGGATGTGTGTGTTTTGGTAATGTCATCTTCGCCATGACCGCGTGTAAACAATACGGGGGACGTGGCATACCCCACTCCCCACTTGCCCCTTTTGTAACCTATGAATATGAAAGCGAGAACCTAATAATAACCAGAAGCTTCTAATTTACACAGATACATAGACTGTCTAAACGTCCACTGCGGAGGTTACTAAGGAACAAAAGCCAAGCGTATCGATCGGTCTCGCAGAAATATCCCTGTCTGTCCATCTCGGTTATCTCAGCCCACGTTTTTTTTTTTTTTTTTTTTTTTATTTTAAAAAAAGATGCGATCTGTGTGACAGAAAGCAAAAAAAAAAAAAAGCAAAGACCTCCCTCCATTCTCTCCCTCCTTTCTTTCTCATTGTCTGGTCTTCTTGGACAAAGCTCGATCCATCATCTCTGCCATTTTTCACTTCTTTACAACTCAATCACAGGTACAATCAATCATTCCTTTGTTCACATCCCCCTATCAGTCCGTCGTCCTGGCGTTTCTTCCATTTTTTTTTTTTTTTTTGAAGTTAAACCTTCTTATATTACCAGGTTGAATAACAACAAAACCAACTCTATTTCTTCCGTTGTTGCTTATTGTTTCTTGTTTTTCTATTACCACCCTTCCATCTCCCCCTTGGAATCCTTTTTTATTCCTTTTCCGAAAGATCAGACATGTCATCCAATACCGCTGTAACAAGTCGCATCGACAGACGTCTCTCTGCTGGAGACCCCACCAGCCAATACAACCAGTATTTAAAACAGCAGCAACTGCAAGTACAACTACATCGATCCTCAGCAAAAATACCTGGAGGATCACGTCGCCACTCCCATGTAGTCTACTCTACTCAATTACCCTTGCCATCTTCAGCCGAGTCCACTCATGGCTCGAGCAGTAGTAGCAGCTCAAGCAGTAGTAGCTCATCTACCAGTTCCAAAAATTCATCCCATGAACAGGGTTATGAACCCATTCGATACACGCTTTCCGGTAATAATCCCCAGACACTGAAGTATCTTCGTTGTTATCATTTTCAACATTGATGAAGGCATCTGTTCATTTTGACAGTGCGGACTGCCATAAGCGGCAAGAAAAAATGGCATTGACTCAACACGTTTAATCTCGTTCCACATCAATCATCAATCTGTATCTGCAACTAGACAATCCTGTGCGACTACCACCTCCGAGACAGCCTGCTCACAGATCAAAGCTCTCCAAGCAGTATACACCCTCTGAGTCCGAAGAAAGTGATGATGAACCATTAGGCTTGGCCCAAGCTTCACGACGCTCTAGATACTTGGCTAACCAGCCCATTGAACCGAACGACAATATCGACAGCAACACTAAAAACAATAGTAGTGCGGCTGAAAGTCTTCGAGGTAGATAACGGCTTTCTCACATATTGCTACCCAATCATTCCTGCTAAAAATTTACCTTTACCATCAACATCACTTTTTATTTTTTTTATTTTTTATTTTATTTTTTATTTTTTTTTATGCCCATATCATTACTTGATGACAAGCACCATCATTTTCTCGTCGCAACTTGTCGCGATCCTTTTACATGTCCCATGCCGCAAAGCTCTGTCCTCATTACTGCTATGGCAATGTTTCCTAAGTTTGATTGTCCAAAAAATTAACCATGCTTATTTTGTTTTATTTTGTTTTATTATCATGACTGTGGTCCGGTTTGTTCTTGGGAACGACTTGGGTACTTGAACTACCCTCTCTTCTGCTCCTTCCCTTCTCCCACCTATCGTCATCTGTATTGCACTGACTACAGCTATCTCGAGGTTGAACATGACTCAAAGTATGGGCAAATCGGATGGAAATGAAAGTGCTGACACTGCCTCGCCGAAAAATGCTACAAAAAAACGTAAGCAACGCATGATCATGAAAATCGGGATTATCATTATAGTAAGCATTAAATGAAATCATTATTAATGTCGAAGCTCGTGTCAATCTTCCTAGTCACCTTGGTTAAAAGAATATCACGCCTCTTTGGCAGCGGATCCAAAGATTCCAAAAAAGCGGAATCTGCCATAACGGAAACTGCCTTGAACAGTAATGTCAAGAATGATCAGCGCAGCAGTCTGATCACACCAAACTCTTCAAAGCATTCGATTGAAGTTATTGAAGAGCCAAGGGGATCGGAGATGCCCGACGAGCTTTCAGCTCCCGCTGGTACCTTCTATGGGCGATCGTTATCGTCACCTGATGTACGTAAAGTAGGCATAGCCAACAGCAGCACAGAAATCTTGGCCAGCGCTCCTCAAGCGTCAGCGGGACATTCTATCCGCAATTCGACCTTACTGGAAAGTCACAACCGCAAGGCACGCGACAGTGGCTTTGGAGACATGGAGATCCAAGGACAACATCGCCGGTATTCCAGTGCCATATCTATGGTTGGAGTGACCGCTCGCACATCCTACCCAAAGCTTGACCATGGCCAAAGACAACGCTCGTCATCTTCCCCACTTGTTGGAGGGGAAATTTTGTACATAGACCAACCAGTCTCGAACCATAGCCAGAACCATCTACCTAAACAGCCACTTCGGACACCGGACTCGCCTTCGCAACATCCGTTTTCAGACGCAACGGGACGACCAGGCACAACTATGGGAGACCCTCTCCGCCCGCGGAGGACCACCTTGATGGATGGTTCCGTTCGTGATTTACCTCCGCATCTTACTACCACAGGAAGGAGAAGTAGTACTCCAGTGGCCATCCCTGAGACATTAGTGTCCAGAATCGACAGAGAAAAATCAACTGTTTGCTTCCAGGCCCCCGCGTCTCGAAGAGAATCTTACTTGCGCGATCCAAACTTGGATCCTGCACTATCAAGCCTAGTCCAGCAACATCGCCGCGACTTCCAGATCAATGCTCGCCTTGGAGGGACTGGTGCTGTTCCTCAGTCAGCCGCAGCTTCTCAACAGCAGCAGCAAAATGATTCAGGTCTGATGATTGATTCGCAACTAGCCAACAATATCCGCGACATTCGTATATCTAATCCTAGAAGAGATTCCTATAGTTCACAATTAAGCAACTCTCCACTCCATCATCCCGTCAACACTGCCCCTCCCACACCGCCTACACCGGCAACACCAGGGCCCTATCTCTTAGATGTCAACCCGCGTCGGTTATCAAATAGCCACCACCAAATGAGCCACCCATATCCCACTGGACAACGGTCTTCGTTCTCGGGAAATCATGGCAATTTATTACATGCAGCTGCAAATGCTTCTGCAAAGCAACATCAGCTGCAGCAACAACAACATCAACTGCCCTCACCACAGGTTACACCACAAGGGACATACACTGGGGGCCAAGGACGCCATCGTGCTTCTCCTCACCGACAATCGAGTGCCAGCTATTTTAATTTGCCACAACAGCAGCAAATGTACGTAACGTCATCTACTAATATCTCGCCACATCTCAGTCCAGTTCATGGAGCGGCGCCTTTGACTTGCAATAAACACGAGCTCTCTGTTGCTATACAGCATCAACAAAATCAACAGCAACAGATGCAGCTCCAATTCCAACAGCAGCAACAATTCCAACAACAGCAACTTCAGCAGTTGCAGCAACAACAGCAGCAGGTGCAAGTACAGCAACAGCAACAGTACTATCAAGCGGTATCCCCATTAGCGCTACTGCAGCAGCAACATCCTATTACGGTCCAGCAATTGCAGCTGGAGCAACTACAGCAATTCCGCATCCAACAGCAGCAGCTCTTATTGCAGCAGCAGCAGCAGCTTCAGCAGCAGCTAGAACAAACGCGTGCAGCTGTTGCGGCTTCTGCAGCTCAGGCAGCAGTTGTAGCGGCGCAAATAATACCGACCTCTACCATAAACTCGACCTCACTCACCCCAACTGAGGCCACATCTACAGAAATGGCCATGTCAATTAACACCACTGAGATTGCTACTACTGATGCGGCGCCAACAGCAGTATCAGTAACAACTACACAGGCACAGCAACAGCAAGTCATGGTCAGTAATTTTCCGCTCCACTTTGCCCTCCCTGCAGCTCCAGTTTTGACGACGACTATGGGCGTGGGTATGGGGATGGGATTGGAATTGGGTGTTAATCCATCGACCATGGACATTATGAATGCAGGTGTCCCCGTTCCTGTTTCTCTTCCTATGAGCGTGGGTGTGAACACACTAGGTGGTTATAGGCAGGCAATGGTTGCTACTACACAGTTGACTCCACAATTGACTCCGCAGCTTATGGGATATCCAACCACTACGCCATTGTACGCCTATCAACAACAGCAGCAAGTACAACTGCAGACACAGCAACTGCAACAAATGCAATAAAGACAATTAAGAAAATACCCCATATCCTCAAGTTGACTCCTTCTTCTTTTTTTGAGTGCCGAGAGGTACAAAACGAGGAGACTAAGTTGATCAATTAATTGGTAAAATATATATATATCTTTAGTGGCATCGAATCAGCTCCTGCAAAACACCGATATAGGTCATGGATCTTGTATATTAATATCATAATAAAACAATCCTAGCATTATATTCATTTTCTGAGATTTAATTTCATCTGTCTTTGCTCCCAAGGTGTCCCGTATAGAGTCTAGAAGTAGCGATTAGGGCATTCACAGGAATAGTATTCTAGTATGTGAGTGGCAGTTTAAAAAAAAAAAAAAAAAAAAAAAAAACGAGTGCCAGTTCTCAGTTGCTGTTTCAGAGGGTGATTAGGCATGATTGAAAATCAAACTGTCAATGAAGAAAAAAAAAATAGAGACTCATAAAGATGCCATTTTTGGTTAGTCCATGTCAATTACAAAAGTTTTATAAAGTAATAGGCTTATAATTGGCAAAAACCTCTCTAAAAGAGAGGTCCTATGAATTTCTAGAAAAAAGAGTACACGAACGCGACGCACATTCTCTTGATGAAACGTTTTACTTTATCGAAATATACAATCATAGACTTACTACGCATTCAGTTTAGCCAGGTTGAGTTATCCATCAGAACGCCGATGCTTCCTTTGTTAAAGCGAAGTTAAGGCTTGTACATACACCTGGATGCTACCATTCTGTAGCAGTTTCGGAATCCGCAGAACATCGCTTCCTATGGCGTCAAGTGCCAAAGATGAGTCCTCTGTTTGAAAAACGCTCGTCCCGGGCTCGGAGCCTGCGAGCCTCCTGTGTAATTAAGCCAATAATTTTTTTTGTTCATGGGAGGATCCTTAAGTATCAGATTACTGTCGTCATATGATTTTATTCACAAAATGTAAAAAAAAATCGCTTATCTGTGTCATCACGAGCCATTCGTTTCGTTTTCACCAGGACCATCAGGGCTAAACGCTTTTTGCTTTACTAAGATATATGAAGTACATTGATTCAGGTTTGGAAAACCCATTAGTGAGGGATACGATTGAATGCAAACATTGATACCAAAGTTAGCCTTTACTGCTCGGCCATAAGCTGTATACATGCCTTGCATGGTTGCATATACCATATAGATATAGAATAGAATAGAGACGATCGTGATGAGGACAATGATTGTAAAGATCATACATATAGAGCATGTTTCAAGCTCAATAAGGGTGAAAAAGTAGTGAAAGGTGATAATGATTGAACTTTATCGGCCGTTAATCAAAGAGTTGTCATATGGTTCTCGTGTAGCCGCTACCATACACGCCTACAGCTTTAACAGCCTCGTGTTCATCCGTAGCATTTTCGAGCAGTTGTGGCAGTTAATGATGATATTTGCTTCGACGCAGTGTACGTCTCTCTTACACCACCCCCTTCTATTGGATGGAGAGGAGGTTCTCAACTTACAAGGACATTGTTAAGTGGCAAAGGGTCACAAACTTGCTCTTGCAAAGGCTGACCAATATTTACGCATTGTTTACTGTTGATGATGCTATTCTTCATAAAAGAGCCATTGACAATTGAGGTTGTTCAGCCCGTATTTAGGCTTTTTGGATCTACTTGTACTTTGAAAATGCTTTTCATTCATAGCAACAAAATTGGGCTGTAGCAAGTCCATAATTATGGGATACCAGAAGTATGAGCCAAAAGAAGCTCTCATACATTGTAGACTATACGTGCCCTGTTGTGTCATTGGGTTCTGCCTTGTCTCCAAAGGACCGATAAGATCGTCTTCAACGGAGGAATGATATTGCTACCCATTCTATCCCATCTGGGAGCTCGCCAGACTTATATAAGATCATCATACCAAACTCCTTGCATAAATGTATGAGGAAAATGAGGCGAAAAAGCAGTAATGTCATTTCGGAGTAGTTTCACATTCCATATCATTAAGCACAGAGATCCCAACACTCAAAAGCCTCCTCGATTAAGGAGGAGGTTGATGTCTGGATCAATAATTATTTTCTCAGGATATTAAGTAATATGGATTAATCTGCTAAACTTTTGTGAAAGCTAAGAGCATTCATGATGATAACGAGGACAAAGGAACGAAGATGATTGAATAAACGTCAATTGTGAAATTTCTATCCATTCTATTTTGCTTTGACTTCAGCCAAAACTTATTTTATTAAATATGACTACAGCCAAAAAAAAAAAAATAAAAAAAAAAAAATAAACGCGTTTTCATGGTGATATTATTTACTCTATTTCTACATGTAACGATATATTACGACCCCAGTTTCTATTCATTGCAACTAATAAAACGCTTGACAGTAAGCTCCTTGTCTTGGACTTGTGATTGTGTCCAAAACACCACAAATGTCCATACCAAAAATTGGGGCGTCATTCTCTTTTTAAAGGATCTCTCTTTGGTGTATAGCAAATGAATACAAGACAAAGATAAAGACAAATAAACGCCGATTACAGAAAAATGTAGGATGTGTATGTCTGCGCGTGAGTGAGAGTACATTAGATGAACATGTACTGAAAAGGGGCATGAATGACACGTCTCGTGGAGCTTTCTTTGTGAACATTAAGAGCATGATAAAGACATGTTTTATTGAAGAGATAAAGTATTACAATTATTTATGCAAGGCGAAAAATAAAAAAAGGTATTACGTGACCTTCAAAGAGAAATGGTCTAGTTTTTTTTTGTGTTCCTCAGATTAGGTCGGTTAGTCTATGACTATGATGATTGAAATGACGGTAATGCCTTTCTTTGTTTGTTTGTGTGTGAACATTAGAGAGAATGATGAGAAGGTCGGGGGGGAACATTGTGCATTAATAAAAAAGAAAAAAGAAAAAAGAAAAAAAAAAATGCGCTTGACGGGAGCCATAGTCTGGTGACAAGGCAACTAAAAACAAACAATGATGCTGTCAACTTTTTTAGAGAGGAACCTTGATGCGTTCCTCATTTTCGGGCACTAGCTGTGGGTTTCTGGCAGTGGATTGTGTGCCGATGTAACCACTCTCAATCTTGGCATTCTTGTCATAAGAGGTCTGTTCAGCACTAGGGACGGGTAGGGTTCCACTAGCGTTCTGGAAAGGCGTGCGGGGAGATGAATGTCCGCCAGTAGTGGAAGGAGGAGGTTGTGGGTAGGATTTAGGTGAGGCAGTTGCATGGGTCATGGAAGGCGAACCAGTTCCTTGGCTATAATTGTTGCTGTTATTAGCATACCCAATGGGAGCAGGAGGTACAAATTGGTTTTGATATTGTTGCTGTTGCTGATAGTCCTCGGGAGGATAGTATCCTTGTTGTTGGTCAGCATAATATGCTTGTCCCTGCTGTTGCTGTTGACGTTGAGCATAGTATGGGTCGTATTGATCGTATTGTTCTTGGTATCCTGCTCCATATGGCACTTGCTGGTAACCCTGCTGATAATCAAATCCATCATTATTATGGCTGTTAGGAAGCTGTGAAGCAGCACCGGCGCCTGCACCTACAGCAGCACCTCCAATAGCAGCCATCTCCAATGGGTGTCCACCTGCAGGGGTCGAGGGTCGGGCATTGCTGTTTTGAACAGAAGTAGGCCGTGCAGTGGCACCTGCTCCTGGAGCTGCTGCTCCACTATGATCCAAGAACTCTAGACGTCTCTTACGTGCTCTATTCTTCTTCTTTTGTCGCATTACGAACACCGCAACTAAGAAGGCAAGAACGAGTACAGCTGCAATCCCTCCTATGACTGGTGCAAGAACATTTTTACTACCACTTTCGCCACCGTCTTTTTTATTCGGGTCGTGACCATTATCATCAGGGTCCGATGTTTGGGTAGCGCCAGGAGGGGGATTTCCACCACTTCCACCATTTCCACCAGATCTAGTTTTCGTCGAAGGGGGTTTAGGGGCTCGAGAAGTTTGGCTAGGGTCAGGTGGAGAAGTGGGATCTGAGGAAGGATCTGGGTTCGGAGGGGTAGGATTCGAGGGTTGAGATGGTGAGGTAGTGGAGGAAGCAATGGGGGTGGTTGGAGTTGGTTCAAGGGGAGAAGTGGGAGGGTTGGAAGGGAGAGAGCTGGCAGATGACATGATTAAAGAGTAATTGAATGTGAGGATGGATCAAGAATGATTTGATTTAAATTAGAAAAGAAAAAAAAAAAGAAAGAAAGAGGAAGAAAAAAAAAAAAAAAAAGAGAGAGACACACAAGAGAAATGCAGTTGGTCTGGGATGTGATGTAGTACAGAAAGATATGTCGATGTCAATGGACAAGAATATCAAGAAGAAAAAGAGAAAAAGTCCCCTGGTTGGAGGTGGTTTTTTTTTTATTTAAAAAAACGTTGCTTTTGTTATTGCTTGCTTGCTTGCTTGCTTGCTTTATTTTTTCATCCTTGGGTTGGGGTTGGGACAGCAACGGAAGAGAGGGGAGGACAGGTATTTAAAGATCATGAATCGTGTGAACACACAAAGAATGGATGCAATAAAGATGAGATGCAATTTAATTTGTCCCTGGGCTCGTCTTTTTTCAATGTCTCATTTCTATTTATTGGTCCTGGCGATTATATTACATCCGAGAACAGGGGCAAATACGTACAAAAAATACTGTCATCTCGTTTAGTTTTCTTTGCCTTGGCCCAAGGCACATCGATCGGGCCCTTCATCTTTGAAAATAAAATACTATGCAGTCAACTTTTCTGGACAAAATCATCTTTGAACGTCCCGTTCCTTTCAAAAGGAGTAAAATAAAACCGCTCAACGGTTTTTTTTTGTTTTTTTGTTTTTATTTTTCCTGTTCCTGAACCATCTTCTTTTGTCCATTTCTTTCCTGCCTTCGCAGGCAGACAACGATTATACTCACAAGGGGAATTCTCTGGTTAGATCAAATAGAAAAGATGTTGGCCTCTTGACATCAGCTATGGTACGCCAGTTAGATCATATAGCATAAGGAAATTTTATCCGAATCCCCAATACCGCCAAGAGCCTTGGACTGAGTTTAACAAAAGAGAATATTTAATTTCATTTCACGGTATTCAGCCACAGCGCCTTAACTGGGTCAGGCTGACGGACATCAACATAGACTTATTTTTTATTATTGGCCATCCCAAGAGATGGAATAAGTAAATTATAAGAGAACAAGCGAATGTCATACCCATCTGCGACTGAGACTTTTAGGCTTTGCTCTGCCTTCTTGACCCGGATATAGTGATTGGGCCCAGTAAAGTCATTGAGATAGTTTCAAACAAATATTAGCGCCATTTTTATTGGTAAAAGTGGACTGTAAAGTGGAAACAGCTTGGTATATTCATTGGTGGCTTTGAATGTATCTCCATCCATACTCTCATTGGCTTCTTTCTCTTCCAAGCTTCAAAGGGATAGCTCGTCTGTGGCTGCCCAGATTACCAGTCCTGATCCAATCTCTTGGGACTACATAAGATTTCTTTCGGATTAGCAGAGCATTATGGTAGTTGCCACCAAGTTTGCTAGAGTTTGATGATGTCGTATGTTCAAGTGCTTCGCCCAAATTCCTGAGGCCTCATGGTATATTTTCGCTCTCTAGACTTCCACGTATAAACCTAGGTTACAGTGCTCTTTTTTTTTTTTTTTTTTTATTCTTCACCTGAATGGACTTTTGTTCATACTCGTCTGTATTCAATTATGATGCCAGTTCTGTGTTGCACTTGGATCCACACTATGTTATGTTCTTAGAGTATTCGTTGGTTGCTAAAGTGTGCATACTTTGAACGAAGCACGGCTCTTTTCAACAGTTGCCTGCACATGATTGACTAATTCAGTTTTTTTTTAACGCTCTTCCTGTGTGTCCAAGCTCGGCACCAAGGTAAGCTTATTGGTGAACCACATCACTCATACCAACCACACCCCTCGTTCATATTTTCATTTGATAAAAAACTCCTCTTTCACTACATTCATCCTATGATAACAATACTCATATGTCCATTTACGAATGTTGACTATGGTGCCTTGTAGAATGAATAATAGTTATTGCAGGAAGCAAGGTATAAAAAGAAGAGCACACTTTTCATTCTGGTGCTTAGAAAACGGCTTCCCAAGAAGTTTTTGTTTTACTCTCAAGGTTTATTTCGATGGACTAGCCTGTCAAGATAGTGGCCGCTTAAAGAACTGTCGATCAAGATGTTGATAGTTTTGGATCTATAAAGTAGGATGTCACTAGGCTTATTTAGTTCACTCGAAAAGATAGGGCTGTAATTCTTCAACAGATATAGAAAAGTAATGGATTTGTGAAGTGAAGGTTGTTTGTGCATATTTATAAGTATTAAACGAGCCACATAGTTTTTGAGTTTTAACAATCAGCCATCTCCATCTTTTTAAAGTCGACAGGTCAAATTTTCATGTCCAGCGACTGTTACCGGGCGTCTTTATTGTTTGTATATATAATGTCGCCAATGTTCATGTACATGTACATTTAAGTATATAAGCGTTATCTAACATCGGACTCAAAGGCGGAGTTCTTGAGGGAAGAAGGGCGTCATTCTTGTTTGGCTGACTGATCTGCACTGCATGCGCCTCCCCTTTTCTCCCGTTTTTACCCATCATAGACTACTTCACTAAGTAGACATTGGCACATTCACCCAATTCAGTTTGCGAGTCTCTTGTCAACTTCAGAAGGTAAAGGGGACGAAGAGTGAGAATGTTTTTACACCCAATCTTTCCCTTACCCATCGCCTCCCTACTAATCATTGCTTGGGTTGACACGAAAGAAGACAAATGATGGAAGAAAGGGGGGTAGGTAGGTAGGATGAGGAGGTAAGGAGTCAGGGCGCGAAAACTAAAGAATAAAACTTGACCAATAAGACAGAAAAAAAAAAGAAACTAAAGAGAAGAGTGGGCTTGGATGGGCAAAAGAAGCATACAACAGGCTTGTCAGCTGCATATCCCAGATAGGGGTGGCAATGCAATGCTTGTGCGCCCGTGTTATTTTTAACAACAGTTCTGAGTGTACTGTCTGTTTTCTGTTTGTGCGCGTGTGCAACCATGCGCTTATTCCTTGGGCCTGTCATCCAAGCACTGCCCTAAAAATAAAAGTGGACCAAACGTAAACAATGGCAATGACATCGTTCTCATCGACGGCGGGAGTGAGTCTAGCTTACAATACATTCATGTTCTGTTGTCAATCCACGGGCGATTTTTTTTTTTCTTTCTTTCGGCTGTCTTTATTGTATGTACAGCGAACGCTCTTCTGCGCCCATTTGCTTTCATTCGTCTACCTTTGAGGCGAAGGGACAGAGCATCTGTCGTACCATAAAAAAAAACAAAAAATAAAGAGTAAACACAGCCATCTATAACGCGCCGATACCACCAGTCATCCTTAGTAAAAATGTAATGCTGACATTTCTTTCCTTGACCTCGGAAGGGAGTGGGAGTACAAAGAATTGAGTGACCTTTAAAAACAAACAAGCCAACAAACCACAACACGACCATCCCGCACAGCCCAAAATGTATTTATATTCATCGAAGAACAGACCATGCCCTGTCTTTCTTCTCTTCTCTTTTTTCTTTTTCTCCTTGATTGTCTATGTTCTCAGCGACAACGACAACACAACAACAACGATAGCGTCAGTCTTCTGCCTCAATAATCCCTCTCTGTTGATTTATGCGATCTATTTCTTTATCCTTCTTCGCCAGTTTTCTCATCACTCAATTGTTGTTTTCTCTTCCACATCGGTTGTCCCACCTTTGAATATCTTAATCTTCAATTGATAAACAAAAATATAACCATGGCGCCCTCTTATATAGTTGATCCAATGAATTCTATCTTGGAGAGGCGCTCACTGCCTATTCTCCACAAACGCGCCCCACCTTCTGAAGGTGACACTGAGGGCTCATCGTCCAACAATACTGCTGTCATTATCGGTGTGAGCGTAGGTTCACTGTTGCTCATTCTATCGCTTGCATTGTTCTATTGGTGCATTCGTAAACGACGCGCCTCGCGGAGGATCGGCCAGCTCCAACGATTCCTGCCCACATTTATGGATCAAGAAAAAACCGAAAAATATTTCCAGAACCAAGGCTCCGCCACAACATTGGTGGGTAGTACTCAAGGCAGCGAAAAACCCCCAAAGGGGTTGGAGCGACCATCAAACGTCCATCACCGAACTCGATCTGCTCCTATTGCCTTCACGAAGAGTGTGATGGACCACAGAAACAGACAGCTTGAGCGGGACGGATCCCTGGGACAGTTCCAGCAGATTTCTCTCGTCTCTGAAGAGACTATGAATGAGAAAGAGTCTGAACATAAACGAACCTTGTCTCGCAGATCTGCCATCACCCGCTCTATTACAAAACCTGGTGCAGCCCCCGCTAAGAGTACGCTTCATCGAAGTGTCAGCCTTAATAAACATAATCACGAGGGCACCAATTACAGTCGATCTGAAGAGCCTAATGTGGAGGAACCGGAGGACTCTGGTCATCTCGGCAAGTTCGCAGAGGGTGAAAGCTTGGTAGCTCCCAACCGGTTCTCTGCCTTCCTGGATTTTAGCCAACCAATCGAGAGTCTCAACAGTAACAACCGATTCTCGGCTACATCATTCATTGGTGTTGATCCTGATTTCGATCCTACACGGTTCTCAACCGCTTCAGTCATGTTTGATGCCAAGAGGATTTCTAACGTGTCAGCCGCATCCTCAGACGACACGGCATCAATCAGCTCTGAAGAAGAATTCCGACATAACATCCCACCGCATCAGCAACAGCCCTCCTATCACAGCCATTATAATTCACCCATAGAGGAGCGTACTCGAGAGGAAGCTGTCTTTAACTTTGGAGACAAGCAGGAGCTAGATGAAGATGAAGAGGTTGTTGTATCACAGCAACAGCAACAACAGCAGCAACAACAACCGCGAGTTGTCCAAGGCTATGCCGGCCTACAGAGCTATCCTAGACAACCTTTTTATCCTGCGTTGCCACAGCAGCACAGCCCAGTTCCATTGCATATGCCAATGCCAATGCCAATGCCAATGCCTGCCCCCGTTGCTTTCACAGCAAACACTTCACCTGTAATGACACCAAAAGGACCCGGTGCTCCCCTTCCTCCTAGCATTAAGCTATCTCGTCCTCAGGATGGACAGGAGATGAACCTTGTGGTCGATGATTTTGAAGTTAATGAGGAGAGCCATCACCATGGCCAGCAACATTAAGCACTATAGGATATCGAGATGAGTGATGGCGTCGGGGAGCATATTTTAGTGTATATAAAGCGCATATTGCATCTACACAAGGGCACTTGTAAATAAAATTTTGTTAATAATCAGAGATTTTTATTTCCCTACACGAAGCTCGTACACAAGTACAGTTCTGTTTCGATCTTCAATTGAGAACTGCTCGAGATCTTGCTCCTTCAGCATCCTACTTTCTTGTCTCAGCTCTTCAGTGGTCCTAGTCTCACCCCAAGCAGGCATTCGGCGGATCTCAATAAGCCGCTTCTTAAACCCATAGTTTTCTCCTGTTGCTAAAGCCATAAATCGTTGCACAGGGGTAAAGCCTGTATGCAAGCCGCAGCACAGGAAAATCTTTCCATTCGTTTCGGAAAGAAGAGCGCGACAGGAGTTGAGGAGCGCAACATGGCCTTCTGACATCCAGAGCGTGTCCGCTAACAAAATCCGATCGTATTTTCTGTCGTTATCGCTTTCATTATTATTAGCGCTACTGCCCTCGTTAATCTGCAGACAACCCAAGAGTTCTTCTACGCCCGTCCCCCATTTATGTTCGCGCACAGCACATCTCACGTTCTGTTCGATTAAGCGCCAATCTTCATTGATTTCATTACTTTGTGCTGAGGTTGTTGAGGTACAGAATGATGATGTGGACTCTAAAAGCCGTTGCATGTGAACTAACTCTTCATCGGTGCTATTTATTCCTTTTCTTGCTTCTTTCTCCTGTGCAGACTTGACCAGATTCTCATACCAGTTACGCTCCAAGTTTTTGATGATAACTGGATCAGGATAGTCGGTCAAAGTAACAAATCTTGCGCCTCGTTTTACACATAACAATCCAGGCAAGGCTGCTCCTGCGCCTAATTCAATCACTTTTTTTTTGAGAAGATTACTTTTCTGAAAAGGATTGACTGAGGTATGTAGGAACCATCTGTCTTTTTTTTTTTTTTATTTTTATTTTTTTTTTTCAGTCTTTTCTTACCCCGCTTTCCCTGAATGTCAAGTTCGTTTCCAGCCTCAATATATTCCGCCATGACAAGAGCGGAATTCCAAACGTAATGCGACATGAGCGTGAGAGCCTCACCTCTAACATCAGCCAAATGAAGTTTCAAAAGACCTTGGCCATAGTCGAAGATCTGTCCTGCTTCTCCATTTGCAACAGGAGAATCACCAAAGACACCAATGCTCTGTTCAAATTTATCAAGAAAATCTGATTCCTCGAGGGATTTGGTTGTAGATGTAGATGAGCATAATGAATTAGTGGTTTTTCCGTGCCGCTGAGCACGTTCAAGACGCTTAATGCGATTTTCCTCCAGGTCTAGGGCGCATGTGAATGAATGAGATTGAGCTGCTTTATTTTTCCCCATGAAAAAATATCGAAAAATGATTCCTAACATTCAACAGAAAGTCGACAGAAAGTCATAAACAAATACATTTGTCACGTTTTTGAATTGAATAGAATACTTCTTTTTTTTGAATACCAAAAATAGGACAAAAAACTAAAATCGCTCGGATTGGTGGCTGTGTGGGAAACATTGCGACCATAGCACAAGGCATGGGCTTTGAATAAATACGTTTTATCATGCCCTTCCAAAAATGACCAGACCTGATGAGTCCCTTCAAATATCGCCCATGCCCTCCATGATATAACCAGGGTTCAATGATAGGTTCCTTCAACCATTGATACACGTGCATGATTAAATTGATTGGGCATCTAGAGGCGTAAAATATTTCTATGCCATGGATGTTGAAAAACATGGCCATTAAGAAATTGAGATATGGTCTGTGCCATGCGAAATGCTAGAAATTTCATACACGTTCTTTTTTTTTTTTTTTTTTTTTTTTTTTAGTGGCAGTGTTGATGTATAATATAATTGACGGATCTCTTCTAAACTGTTCATCTGTCTATACGCTCCAAAAAAAAAAAAAAAATAAAAATAAGTAAGGAACAAGCCAGCGATACAAAGACCAAGACCTTGGTACTCCTTTGAGCATAATCACTTAGTACTCCTTTGCACATTTAGTAACTTTTATCGTTTTCATCCTAAAGAAAATCAAAACACCAAGCGCCTATCACTATTATATTCTACCTCCTTTCCGGTTCCTTTTTCACTAGAGGCATGTTGCCGAATGGTTGTCATCCGAGTCTTTAAAAAATCGATTGATTGCAGGCTCAAGTCTTTGCCTCTAATAACAATAGTATCAAGTCAAATCGCTAGTCGGCATTCATAGATATTCCACCAGTGTACGTTGCCGCCGTGCTAACTACACCAACCGCACCAACCGCCACTCGATCAGAAGTATTAACCCTTACTGGTACCGTCCATTTTACACTCCCCAGGATATCAACTCGCTTTTATGAGATTCACTTTCAGGCAGATCTGCATATGTGGGTGGAGGTCGAAGCTAGTTATCTGCCGTATGATAAGTATGACACCCGTTGTTTGATTCGCTGCATGGACCTGTTCAGCGTTGTCAAGATAATTTCCTTAGTTTATGGAACCAATGCAAGGTGGAGCTCATGTTTTTCAGGGACTGACCCTGTCATCTTGCTTTTATCTTTCTTCTTTCTCAATAAAGTCTTATAGACATTATTCCAGTCCGCCAATACGTCTATACGCCACCTAAGCGTGATTCAAATCATCTGCTGCGGGAAAAGTTTCGACCGCAGCCAACCAACATCGGTCCTTTGTCTCGATGGTTCTTTGGATGCATTGTCAAGGCAAACGCCGATACACTCAAGTCAGGCTGATGTACAGTACATGTACTCGGTACAATAACACCAAATCCGTATCTTCCTCTTCCCTGTACATCCATGCAATGTGATACCCAGCACTGTTACCTACAAGCAACGGCTGAGGTGACAAGTTGATTCACAGTATTCCTTCTCTGAGTGTATTTACAGTTTTTTAAATTGGTAATAGTGAGGGCGGTTTTTTCTTTGGGAGGACCTCGATCCCTCACAGAGGAGCATGCAGTCTAGCCAACCTTAAACGTATCGTTTGGCGGATAAAATCCCTTCAGTCTATCCACTAGTCCTGTAATTCTTTCTAGCAGTTTCAAGTTTTCCATTATGCTTCATAAAGACTTTAGCTTGTAAAACAAATCACATGTCATTAAGGGAAAGAAAACAGGCGCATCGACTGTAAAGAACAAAGGTAATAAAAGTGTATTTCCAACCTAATAACTTTTCACTCCTCGCGTTCGATATTTCAGTGGTATTTCTTTCTTTCTCTCTTTTTTTTTTTTTTTTTTTTTTTTTTTTCTTCCCTACTTTCTTTCGATCCAACATGGATACACGTTAGCTTCAAAATGATGCTAGGAATGATGACGGCTCACCAAAGCCGTACGTCTTATTCTATGCCCTATTAATGAAAAAAGTAGTCAGATAACGGGGAACTTGCTTGACATCGTCACTAATCCAAATAACAATGTGGCTGGCATGAATATTATATTCTTTAGGCTGTTGTCGTCGGTGCAACACAAAAGTAACATAAGACTTTGCTCGCCCAGACAATAATGAAAATCCCTCGATACCGCAGCTAAACTATCCTCATGCTAAAGCCGGGTATCATTTGCAACCGTTTTATCTAGAATGTCTAGGCCCAATTATTATTATTTAACGTTTTCGATATATAAATTATTTTGCAATATGGGCAAACTGTTAAAAAGCCTTCCGCTTTCACACAGACTCTGGTAACAGGCACTGCTTAAAGTCTGCCGCAGCTACGTAAAAAAAAAAAAAACCTCGGCATTCTTGTCCGGCAGTGATGGCTGTCAAGCCGTCCGATATTGGCAAAGAAAGTTGGTGTATTGTTTTCAAGTGAGAACCAAGCCAAAGGGAGGTTCCCCAACAGAAACGGAGGATGATAATGGAAGTACTACAGTTGCAAAAAGCGAGTCGTAAAAGGAAATGATTAAGGAAATATGATGGTTTTTTAGTTTAAGGGCCTTTACAGAGCCGAGTGAACAAGATGCCTATTTTTGCTCTCTAACCTGTTTCGAGTACATTTTTGGAGTGCAATTGGCTGCACCTCTATTTTGTCATTTGCTCCTTTACAAATCTTCCCATGAGACTTGAGATGCAGGAACAAGAATTTCGCTGTGTGTTCGGGCAAACGCTGCGGCATAATCTAAAACCGAAATAATAAACAACAGCACTGAATCTTCAACTCAATTTCAGCATAACAGGGTGCCATTCTTTGCTCCACTACGTCTCTCCAGTTCTCAGTATCGTGTCTGTCGTGAAGACATAAATAATCGCCCGTAGGTACCTCTCTTTCTTTCATGCTCTCTTTATAATTCAGAACATTCATCTCATTCATTCTCATTACCTGCCAGCGCATGCTTAGATCCACCATGACCGTTCTCGCAAAGTCATCTGCCCAATTGAGTTCCGAGCCTGTTCGCTCGCTGTACGAGCAGCTCTGTACTCGTGTTAAAGATGTCTCCTATCTTCAGGGGGTTGCTGGCCTTCTTCACTGGGACCAAGAGGTTATGATGCCTTCCAAGGCTGGTGACGTCCGTGCTAAACAGGTAACATAATAGCATAGTATTGGGATAAGTGATGATGGCTTTGTAGCCTAGCGTTGAGTCTGTTTGTTAGCTCAAGTTTAATGATTTGGCTATTTTTCTTTGCGGATCCCATAGCTCAGCGCCATTGCTGGTCTGATTCATGAGGCAGCCACTTCACCCGCCTTGGGATCCATCCTCGAAGAGCTCCAGAACCGCAAAGTCTCAGGAGATCTGGCCAAGGAGCTGAACAATTATGAACTAGCCAACGTCCGCCTGGCTTCCAAAGCCTATAAGGAAGCGACGGTCTTGCCCTCTGAACACGTCAAAGAGAACGCTGCTTTGGATTCTAAGGCTGTTGCTGCCTGGGCAGAGGTTCGTAAGGAATCTGATTTTTCAAAGTTTGCTCCCTTCCTTGAGGATCAGGTTAGGATCGTCCGCCAGAGAGTGACCTACAAGCTGAAGGGTGGCGTCTGTGAAGAGGCTCGAAAGATCAACGAGAAGGCTCGCACTAGTTTGGGCCTCAAAGAGAGTGATGAATGCTACAAAGGATACTACCAGGCTTTGCTCAATGACTATGAGACTGGATTCAAGGACGAGCATTTGCAGGCCCTATTTTCTGACCTGAAGAAAAGCCTAGTTCCTTTAATTGCAAAGATCAGGGCCAAGAATTTTCAACATGACAACAGCTTTATTCAGGGTGAGTGGGATGTCAAGAAGCAGGCCGAGTTTTCTCATCGTATCGCCAAGGAGATCGGCTTTGATACGGAGGCCGGTCGCCTCGACGTCTCCACTCATCCCTTCACTGGAGGTGCTCATCCTACCGATGTTCGAATGACCACTCGTTATACAGCTGATTACTTTCAGGAGGGTATCTCTGGTACTATCCATGAAACAGGCCATTCTCTGTACGAGCAAGGACGCAATTTGGATTACGACGGACTACCTGTTTCCCAGGCTCTTTCTTTGGGCATCCACGAGTCGCAGTCTCTTCTCTGGTATAGCACTTGTGAACGTTGACATGGTCTTTCTAGTAGCATTGGTAGCTCAAGCTCAATCCTGACTTTTTTTTTTTTTTTTTTTTTTTTTTAGGGAGCGTATGGTCGGTTTAAGTGAGCCATTCTGGACCTATGTCCTTCCTCTTCTCAAGGAACAGTTTCAAGAGCCCTCTCATGAGAATCTTCAATCGATTACCCCTCATCAGTTCTATAATGCTTTCAACCGGGTTGAACCAGGTTTTATCCGCATTGAAGCTGATGAAGTAACCTATCCTATGCACATTATTCTCCGCTACGAAATCGAAAAGGCTTTGGTTGAGGGCGATATTACCGTTGCAGAAGTCCCCCGCGTTTGGAACGCCAAAATGAAAGAGTATCTTGATTTGGAAGTGAAGGAGGATCGTCTTGGATGCTTGCAGGATACTCACTGGGCTGTCGGCCTTATCGGCTACTTCCCCACTTACACTCTGGGATCAATTTACGCTGTTCAGATCTTCAATGCCGCTAAACAGGCCATCCCCGACTTGGATGAGCATCTGGTCAAGGGCGAGTTTCATGTGCTGAAGAAGTGGTTGAATGAGAACATTCACCGCCAAGGATCGTTGAAAGAATCAGGAGATGATTTGATTCGCGAGTTGACTGGCAAGCCTTTGGACAGCAATCTTTATGTTCAATATTTGACTGACAAGTACACCAAGATCTACGATCTTTAAACAGAAATTGATAAGCTTGCGAAACCCTTGTAATTAGATTAATTAGATTAAATGAGAAGATGCAGCCAAAAAACTCAAATTAAAATGTCTGTGGCGGTGCAGTTCTTTGTCATCCACAAAATAATTTTTTTTTTCTCAGTTCCTTTCTTTTGCAACTATTCGTGACCATGCAACTACCTACTCAATCAGAAGCAATAAGAGCTCTTGCTCCTAGGTTTTTACCTGTAGAGCTGCTTTCTTTCATCTTTTCCTTTCTAAGCCGGCATGAGCTTATCAACTGTCTCACTGTGTCCCGCGAGTGGTATACTGAAGCCATCCCAATTCTGTATCGTTGTCTTTGCATTCGCCCCCTCCTTCTTTCAACTTTTCTGCCTTCGGTTAGAAAGAACAGACACCATATTCAAGCTGTCCAATTCGACATGTCATTTCCAGGAGTATAATAAAGAGATCTTTGATATTTTATTGGATTATCAATCAGAGACAGACATACTGTTAAAGGAGCTAAACAGTTCAGTGGCACTTGTCCCCGGACTGAACAGGCCAACAATTAAAGCGCTGACGATAATGGGGGATCTGGATTCTTTTCATCGATTCGACGAAATGATCTTTCATCTCACAGGCCTTACTTCATTGGAACTGAAGTGTCATTCGATATCGAACATCCGTACTTTGGAATTGGATCGTATCTTAGAAACTCTCCCAAATCTGACTTATTTATTAGTAGGTAGTCCGATGCTAGATTCAACAAAACCTATGTACAAATTACGATCATTTGGCTTTGAGCCTAGGCTCTTCTCGATCGTAAAACCATCCTCAGGCCAACTCTTCCAAAAACTCGGCGATTTGGTCTCTATGGCTATCAATGGGCCTGATTTCTCTACTCCTCCCTCAGCAACCAAAAGGATAAGCCTTCAAGGTTTAGGAGAGTCGTTACGGCGATGCTGCCCAAAGCTTGAGAAGATCATGACAACAGAAAAGGTGCCACTTTATTTTTATATTTTGCCAGCATCTGTTTCTGAATCACATCTCATACTCCGTGGCAAGGATGTAACAGAGCAGCAAGCTCTGGAAGACCTACAACGAGAGCAATTTGAGGAAGCTATAGAGGTATTTTCTAATCTGACTCATTACATTGCCAACTCCTGGTCCTATATGGCAGCAGAAGACCTTCGTTGTCTGGGCGTAAAAGCCTGCTATCTGACGCATGTAGAGCTCGGTGCTGACCCTCCATCCTCAGGATACTCCAATATCTATTCTAATCTTGATTTTCATCAGCAAGATATTGACGGTGCACAGAAGCGACATGCAATTGCTAGCTTGGATCTACAGTTGTTTTTAGAAACATGTAAACATCTGAAGCATTTCGATGCTAGAGGGCCCACTATTCACCTCGAATACATGACTCCATTTGGTCGGGAGCTTTCCAGGCTTTACTATCAGCCATCCAAGCGCCATGGCGGACGCCAGCCTGTTATCCGTTCAGCAAAGCCCTGGGCATGTGAGGATACTTTGGAGACATTGTCTATTGGATTTGGGATTATTTCATGTTGTCCTTCAGACCATAGGATCGTGTTTGAACAGCTTGGAAGGTGTAGACGCCTAAGGTCGTTGACAATACGGTGGTCGACCTTGATCCCCACACTAACTCATGGGGTAGATCTATTGGCAGATCTGGCGGGGTCACTTGAAGAGATTGTACTGACACACCAGTCGAAGTGGGTATGTGATGACCGAGCAACGCTGGAATGGATGGTAACGCACCTGAGTAAGTTGCATAAATTGGAAATGCCTTTGCGTCGTGGCTCCTTTCTAGCAGAAAAGGTGAAAGCACGTTTGAGCAGTGCAGGCGCTGCAGGGATTCTGCATGTAACGTAGCGAAGAATAGAAAAAAAGAAATAAAACTCAATGGAGGCACGTGTTATTAAAAGAAACGCGTTTTCTGCGAATATCTATTTTTGTTATGCTTTTTGTGCTTTGGAGATCCCTCTTCATAATCTACAAGTTACATAAACCAAGGTCGCGCTAACTCTGCTTTCCGCTTTTTCTTTCATTCTCTTCCACTCTTTCTCTCCCCCCTTTTTTTTCTTTTTTTTTTTTTTTTTTTTTTTTTTTTTCAACTTCATCATCCGATTCATTATGGCTGCACATGCATCATTGTCCAAGGATCAGCAGGTTCCACAGGACCAGATTGTCCATCACGAGATCGTTGACGACGACGATGATGGCTGGCAAGTCGTCTCATCTACGGCCACTAAGGATAAGCAATCATCATCCATCCCTTCATCATCTTTGTCCGGACAATCTGTATTAACATCAGATGACACAGTGGCAAGCACGCCATCCTCTTCAGCAACTGCAGCAACTCCAATGACAGCAACAATCGCAACCACTCAGCAACCGTCTGTAGAAGCACCTGAAAAGACTTCGAAAAAGAAAAAGAAGCAGATCTTTGGTACAGATGAATTCCAACCTGTGGTTTCCAAAAAGCAGCTGGCTCGTGCCAACAAGGTACCTACCAAGAAGCCTAATGCCTCGATCGGTGTGGCTACTTCAAGTTACTTTGATCTTTTGCAGGACACAGAGAATGCAGAGGATGTTGATATGATCCTTGAAAGGATCACGATGGAAGAAGAAGAGGAACGGATTCGTCGGGAAGAAGAGTTGAGGGAGCAGGCGAAAGCAGAAGCAACAGCAGCAGCAATAGAAGCAGCAAAGCAAGCTGAACTGGAGAGAGAACAAGAAGAACATACTTGGTTATTGAAGGAGCAGCAGGAACGCTTAGAACAAGAGCGCTTGGAACAGGACCGTTTAGAGCAGCAACGATTGGAAGAGCAAATCGAGTGCGAGAAGCAGGAGCTGGAAGCAAAAGAGTCATTGGAAAGGGCTGAGAAAGAAGCTGCTGCCGCTGCCGCTGCTTCGCAAAAACAAAAGAAGGAAGACAAAAAGAAGAAGGAGAGAGAGGCTAAAGAGAAGGAGAGGGAGACTAAAGAGAAGGAAGAGGCTCGTCTGCAAGCATTGAGACAGCAGCAGATCGAACAGGAGCAGAAGGAGCAAGCTGAAAAGACAGCAAGAGAGGCACAAGAAACAGCGAACAGGGCTTCAAATATGATAGAGGAAGGGAGCTTGGAAGAGCCAGAACACCAGCCTCAGCGGACGGAATCTGAAGATTCGTGGCAGGTTGAAGGCGATGAGGATGACGAATGGCAGGAGCAGTCAAAATCGAAGAAGAGCCGCAAGACTCGTGCTGCACAGCAAGCCTCATCTTCAGGTGCACTTGGTATTCAGTCCAAGATGTCGATCTATGTTCTTCAACAGGATGAAACTCTAGATCAAGAGAGTGACGGAGAAAATGGGTCAGAAGCTTCCTCTGAACAGGAACAGGAACAACGTGCTGCTGTTGTTACTACCAAACCCAAATCAACAAAAAGTGGAGCCGCCAAGAAGAACAAGAAGAAGGCAAATAGCAACTCTGCGTCTGCAGCCAACTCACCACGCTTGGAAGGCAAGAAGTCTAAGAAGACTGCCGCCACTATCGCAGCTGTGGCATCGGCACCTGCTGCTGTTGCTGCCATGACTGAGCCCGAGCCCGAGCCATCATTGTCCTCAACGGAAGCGGCGACACCCAAGTTGAGCAAGCGCAAAGCTAAAAAAGCATCCGCCACTGTTGCAACCTCTACCACAGCCGCCGCTCCTGGTATTGGGTCATCAGCAGCCTCATCTATACCCGCCAAGGCAGCAGACAAGATTGAGGAGGTTATCAACAAGGGGTCCAAATCCTCAGCCTCTGTTATGGTCCAAAAAGATGGTCCCTCCGATATGGTTGGAGGGGTGTTTTCATCTATTTTTGAAAAGGGCGTTAATCCTGGATTGATCAAAGCTTTGAATGTGATCTTTGTGTTGTTGTTCTTGTCCTTGGGCTTCTTAGTCTTTGCATCTGGTGGCAATGGACATGTCATTGCTCTCACAGGCGTTGCTGTGGCTTTGTTTGTAGCTGTACAATGGTAGGGTTTATCTTTCACTTTATGCTCCTCTACGTTTGACAACAGTTGGCTTGGATAAACTGATATTTACAAATTTTATCTTTATTAGGTTCCTCCGCGAAATGGAGACCATGAGGATCGAAGAGCGCAAGAATATGTGAAGGGGCTTGAAGCATACGAGGTCCCAATCGCTTGCTATATATTAGAGACCAGGAATTATTAGATTAAGGATTTTTTTTTTTGAAAAGGGTTAATGGCAAAATGATTGAAATTTATATACAAATCATTTGTTTAATAAGTAAAAAAAAAAAAAAAAAAAAAGACTGATATGCAAATGCATATGAATTCACTTGAACGCGTTGTTTGTGATCAACGCCTTGATGATCAGCATTATTCATACACATATAAAAATTGCCCGCATTTTTTCCTTAATTCATATTTTGAACATTGTTGATTAGATTTGTCCTTGTGGGTTCCACAGGTCATTCCTTCCTTTCTGTCGCTTCGGCCCATTACCATATGAGGAAAAACCTGGGGAAACCCATTAGAAAACCATTTGTTTGTTTGTTGTGCTGGTTATGTTATTGGCTGTTTTTGGTGTACTTGATTGCTTGTTGTACCCATCTTTTATTTTGTCCCTGGAGACTTTTTTTTTTTTTTTTTTTTTTTTTTTCCCTCTTGATTCAATTGTAGTCAAATGCTCCTTTCAAAAAAAAAAAAAAAAAAAAAAAGTATATATACATGTATTCATATTCGCAAGTCTCGGAAAGTGGATCTGCAGGGTGGGGACTCGATGATCTTCTAAATGCAAAATCTGGTTTTGCGGGGTAAAAATAACGTTTATTTATCCATTGGATAAATAAAAAATGAAAAATAACGCATGGTTCAAGACCGATACATTTCTTTTTTTTTATTTTTTTTTATGACAAAGTGGATCCAAGTGGCAAAGAATGGATATGATGTCTTTGACTACATCGTGTGTGGCCAGAGTGGTGAGTTGCGTGCTTTGGCCCCGCGATCTGCTTTGGCCCCACGATCTGCTTTGATCGCCCACCATCGACTTTGTTACGACGCATGATCCAATTAGCACGATAAAGTACAGGGCCAGAGGTCAGAGAGAGATGGGAGCACAAAAGGATAGGGTAACAAACAGAGACTAAATAATGACAAAAGACAATGCTTCTTGCAGGGAACATTCAGTTTATTATTCTCCATTCATCCATTCATCCATTCCTTCTTCATTCCTTCTTTTTCTTCGACATTCATTATTCTCGGACTCCCTTTATTCATACATTCATCTCTTCTTTAACGGCCTTCACCTAGCGCCACATACATGTACACTTTATATATTACCCATTCCTTTTCTTGTATATAACACATTTTTACTTGCATTGTGCATCTTTGCTCGGGTTATAACATTTGTTACTTCGGTCCAAGCGGAGCATGAGAGAGCAGATATCCTTCTTCTGAATAGTTGGAGCCGTATTTCACCGCACTTGCATCTTCCAATCGTCTTATTACGTCCAATACAAAGCTCTTCTTCGCTCATTGACCCCAGATATACTACCTATTCTTTTTGCACTTCTGACTACATACGAATAAGGCGTAGACAACAACAATAATATCCATTTATCCCAACGAAAAAAGAAAAAGAAAAAAGAAAAAAAGATGGTTCAGTCGCGACGCTTTCACTCAAACTTTCTGTTTATCATCCCTTTAACACAAGGTGTAGGTCTATCGTTTGTCTTCACATGTAGTTGCGCCACATTGAATTTCAATAGTATGGTCAAATTGTGTGATGCTCTTTAATCACAATGGTTTTGTTTTCTTATAATTATAGGTCCTTATTCTTATTTTTCTTGATTTCTGCAAGAATGCAGCGTTTTTCGCCAAACAAGTCGGTAACCTTACACCAAGCACACCCACAACCACAGGTGATGGTCAATTAATTTTACGACCAAGAGATCCAGCATACTTAGCGGCACAATACATCTATGCGACATGGCTTATGATGATGATGATTAAGGCTGTCATTGGATTCCGCGCCAATTTAAAGGTAAAGCAGTTTTTTGTCCTTATCAGTTTCATAATCATCCTTAATGCTGAGTGCTAATTTTATATTTAAAATAAAATAAAATAAAATAAAATAAAACATCGGATAGTTCAATGTTCGCTGGATGAGTATATACAACGTGCTGCTGGGACTCGACACTGGCTTTGAGTTTGTACATACTACGCTCGGTGTGCTCTTTCAGGACATGAGTCAGTTGGATGAAGCAGGTATTATTCGACACTATTGCGTCAGCTACCTTATTGTAAGTGGTCCTACATTTTATGTTCTATGTTTCATCGCAGTGATCAAGATCATTCCTTATTTAACATATGCTGGCTGTCTCAATCTTCCCAATTTGTAGCTTATTTTACAACTTTATGGCTTTTTTTGCTGCTGGATTCACCTAAAATGGGTCAATATTGAAATGCCACATCTGTTTGCAGCAGACAGACCTCCACAGTCTCTCCTAGGACTGATGTTTCCAATGGCAATATCTTCAAGGCGTCGCATCAATGGTCCTATGGGCGCTGTAGCAACAGAGGGGGCGGATGTTGTAGACCTAGAGTCAGTAGTAGTAGGATCATCCAGCAATGCAGCAGTAACGACAGAACCAACAGCAACAGCAACAGCAACAGCAGCAACAACAACATCAACAACTATGCCTGCGCTAACACCAACGTCAACGTCTATACGAGCCATACCGGATTCCCAACAAGAACCATCTCAGTTATCGATTGATACGGTCAACCATAATCAACAATCAATAGTGGAGCCATTACAAGCTACACCGGGCGGCAGAAGGACTATAGATAGTGATGAGATAGAAGTTGCTGTGTAATAAAAATATCCGTAATTTACTGCTACATTAATATGACTGCTTCCGCTTCAAACCATAACAAAGCTCAGCCACTTTTTTTTTTTTTTTTTTTTTTTTTTTATCTCCTCTGCACTTTTGGATTGTGTCAAATAAGAATATCATTTGCTACCACCAGCACTCGCCTTCTTTTGCTCATACTTTCTCTTACTCCCTTCTTTCGCCATCCCTCCCTTCCTTACCAATTGCCATTCCGACTCTATTTCTTACGCAATGGCACCCACAAAGAGAAAGGCGCCTGTACCTGCTCCCGCGCCTACTCAAGTCAAGAAGGTATCATTCAACCCACATAGTCTTTTCTCTATCACTTATTTGTAAACAATTAGCACTTTAGGACTCATCAACTATCGCGAATTTCGTTCTTTAAATATGTTTCCCATTCTCTAATCTCAATTTCATCGTTGAAATTACGTATTCATAGTCAAAGAAGTTGACACAGCCTGTAATGGATCTTGCAAATGAAGAGGAGTCTTATGACGATATGATTGATAGTGAAGAAGAAGAAGAAGACGACGATGGAGAAGAAGGCGATTATATTGAGGGCGATGAAGAAGACATTGATCAGGACTCCGATGATGCGGATGAAGTAGAGGGATTTGAAGACGAACAGGATGAATTTATGGCTGCAGCAGAACATGAAGCGTCCACCAAATCGCCAAATACTATGGGCGTCAAAAATTCGTCCCTTTACAAAGCACCGACTAACGAGGAGATTCAGGGATTACAGGAGTCATCAGATCTATTCAAGTCCAACATTTTCAAGCTTCAGATTGAAGAGTTGCTGAAGGAAGTACAGATCGATTATAAGAAGACTCAGTCTTTAGAGGCTGCTCTGCGTAAGCTCAAGGAGATTTTTGATCGGACTCCAGAGCACCATGAACTTTCGGTAATCTTATTTTTATTTCTTTATTTCTCAATCCAAATGAGGAACAGTACTAGTGCATCCATATCAATCGAAGCCCTTTTTGCTTTATATTATCGGAAGTTAACTTGTGCATGTATATGACGTTGGAAATTTGCAAATTTTAGCTTGCCACAATCAAGAGCAACATGAAGAAGAAATCTATTACGATCCCTTTCCCACAGCCAGAACCAGCATCTGATATCCAATACACATTTGGATACAGTGCACCCCCAGCCATGCATCTCGTTGGCAGCTTCCCTTTGAAGGCTGTATCAAAGACCCGCTGTGGCTGGAGTGTTGATGTTGCAGTTGAGATGCCAGAGGAGCTCTTTCAAGAAAAGGATCACATGAACTACCGCTATTTTTACAAACGTGCATACTATCTTGCTGTGCTTGCGGCTGCTATTCAAGACAAAAAGTCTGGAATGTCTTCCTGCAAAACCGAATTCAGTACATTAAATGGAGATCAGCGCAAACCTATTTTGATTTTACACCCGTCCGGCGATAAAAGCGAGACTGATTTTAAGAAGTTGCGCTGTACAATCCGCATTATTCCTTATATCCCTTCAACAGTATTCCCTGCACAACGCTTAGCACCTGGCCGCAACAATGTTCGTCCATCAGACCCTAGTGTTGAACAGATCCCTACACCTCAGTACAACACGGCTCTTCAACAGGACACAGCCTTCACGTCTCATCTTACATTCCTTTATCAACACAGCAAGAACTGTCCTGCTTTCAAGGACGCATGCATTCTTCTTAAGATTTGGGCAACACAGCGTGGACTTCTTCGTCAGACGAGTGACAGCTTCAATGGATTCGTGCTTGAGATGTTGATGGCATACTTACTTCAAGGAGGGGGTGCCAATGGAGGAAAGAAGCTAGCTAATGGTTTTAGTTCATACCAACTTGTTAAAGGAACAATCGACTACATTTCTCAACATGACTTTGCTACCCAACCGGTCTTTATGGGTCAACACACCACTTTAGGGGATTTTTCTAAAGAGGTATTTGTTTCCAATTTCGAAGTCGTGATCGTGGATCCCTCAGGAAAGATCAACTTGGCAGGGCACATCTCAAAGGCAGCTTTGGATGAGCTTCAGCACGAGGCTCGATTGGCCATGAAATTTTTCACAGAGCCAAGTGACGACAAGTTTGAAGCTTTGTTTTTGAAACGAGTCGACAATCCTTTGCTGCGCTTTGATAACGTAGTCAAGATTCATGCACCCAAGAATCTTGGCCAATCAAAGAGCTATAATAAGATTAAGGCACAGGATTACCCATCACCATTCATTCATTTCGCCTACTCGATCGCTCCATTGTTGAAGCGTGGCTTGACCGACAGAATTCATTTGGTGACAACTCGTTATGAACCTCTGGAGAACTGGTCGACATCCAGTGCAGTACCGGATTTTGCTGCAGGAACAGTCATCACTGTTGGATTGTTGTTGAACCATGCAGAAAGTTCGCGTCTAGTCGACCTGGGCCCTCCTGCAGACGACTTGGAGGCTGCCAAAGTATTCCGTGATTTATGGGGTAGCAAAGCCGAGCTTCGTCGCTTCAAAGATGGAAGTATTCTTGAAAGCGCTGTGTGGGAGGCTAAAGGATCTGATGCTCGCCAATTGATTGTAGGCCAGATGATCAGCCATTTATTGAAACATCACCTTGCTGTGCCTCACGACTCTGTGCACTACTGGGCTGGACAGCTTAACAAATTTATTCAGTACAACAGCAAGATTGTTCCAGAGCGCCTGTTCGACAACAGCAAAGCAGCAGCTAGCGGCTTTCAGGATGCTGTTGCAGCCTTTGAGGCCTTGACAAAGGCTGTCAAGACTGCTGAGAACATGCCTCTCTCTGTTACTCACATGTACTTTGCCTCTCCCGCTGCCCGCCTCTCGTCTACATTTATTCCTCAGCCTCGCGATTTCAACGTGCCTGCCAATAACTTTCCAGACAGTGCTCAATATGTGGAGCCTTTGGATACAGTCATTCAGTTTGAATCTTCTCAAAAATGGCCTGATAATCTTAAGGCTATCCAAAGGATGAAGACTGCTTTTTATCTCCGCCTGGCTGACAAACTCAAGTCTAAGGGCATGCGTGCGACTGTTGTAGAGGAGACAGAGGAGGACTCACTGGCGTTGAATGGATACATGGATGTCCGTGTTGCGCCTGGTTATGTTTTTCGCTGCAGAATCTCGCACGATCGGGAAATGACATTGTGCGAAAACATTATTTCAGACCGAAAGTCGAGCCATCGTCTCAAGGAGCAGCACCAAAAAGCACTTGATCTTTATAGGAGGTACTTTGTTCAAGCACCCATGCATACTTTCCAAGTCCATGCTCTTTGCCACAGGCATCCTTCACTCTCGCAAACAATCCGTCTGACAAAGCGATGGGTCAGTGCTCATTGGCTTGCGCCCTTCTTCAACGACGAGACGTTAGAGCTGTTGGCAGCAGCGGTCTATGTGGACTCTGCACCATGGGCAGCTCCAGCAAGTGGATTCACTGGATTCGCTCGTGTGTTGAGTCTGTTGGCGACTTGGGACTGGAAACATGAGCCCTTGGTGGTGGATCTAACTGGGGAGATGACAGGGAAGGAACGAGAAGAAATCCGTCACAACTTTGCTAACACTCGAAAGAACATGATTACATCGACTTCTGCAACCTCATCTCAAACGAAGACAACAACAATCTCGAATGACCATGCGACCATGTTCATTGCAACTGGCAAAGACACGCTCTCACAGTGGTGGACATGGGAGTCACCCTCACCCATGTTGGTGGCACGTCTGCGCGCATTGGCCAAGACAAGTCTGGATTACATGACGCAGACCATCTCTTCTTCCGAGACGACGGGTTCGTCGGCTCTGAACCCAGTCTTTATCACGCCTACTGTTCATTACGACTTGATTATGGATTTAGATCCAGCCTTGTGCACACGTTATGCTCAAAGCTTGACGCCCAATGCACAGTACTTTACAACCAAAGGTGACAAATACAAGAATCTGAGCTCGCTTCAGAAGAGTGTGTTTGGTGACGAGATTTTGATAGGCTTTGACCCTGCTGCAGAATATTTGACAGAACTTCAGGTAAATACGATTCGACTCTGTGTTATTATTGTCTCCCTTTTTCTTTTAAAGGATTGAATGCAATTTGATGTATAAACAAAGCTAACATCCATGTTACATCGGGTGTTTTATGTGTAATAGAGAGCATACGGAGATACCGCATTGTTCTTCCATGACAAGTATGGTGGCACACAGATCGGAGTTCTCTGGAACCCGATTGCTTTGAGCCCGAGAGCATGGAAGGTCAATCTCGGCTTCAATAGCAAGCCTGCGGATGCGAACAAAGATGGTGTTTTGGTAGGGAACCCGTTTATAGGAGGCAATGAGATTCAATATTAAATGGTCTGGAGTTGAACTGACCTCCTTTTTTTTATTTTGGCTTTTTTTTTTAGGAGGTCAAGGAGCAGGAGTCCAAACCCAAGAGCGGAAAAGGTAACGCTGCATCCTCCAAGCTGGTTGTTCCAAACATCGAGGCCCTGGTGAGTGAGATGGAACGTATTGGCCATGGTCTTGTCCGGTCTGTCCAGATCAATCGGGACCCTACTGCTACCAACTAATCCTTAAAAATTCCAGCATTTCCTCTTTCACTTTACATCAGCTCTATTTTCATCCATTTGCATCGTTTTTTCCTATTCAAATAATAAAATAAAAAAAAAAAAAAAAAAAAAAAAAAAAACACTTCATTAAGATAAAGGCTGTGCCAGACAAGAGGGAATGCATAGTAGATTCCCATGTGTGAGCTAAGCTGTATGTACAATAGTATGTTCCCCTACCCCTCTTCCCCTTATTTTATACTTTGTATTTCAAATCACTAAGAGAAATCGTGCTCGAGCCACGGAGCGGAGCAGCGTGCGCACACACACTTGGAAAACAAATAAAAAAAGGGTCATCATGGATATACATGTGTACATGTCGTTGATTGTTGATCCTGGCATGATGTTGTTTGGCCCGATGATCAAATGTGTATCCATTTCTCCCCCCTATATTTTATTTTTTTTTTTTTTTTTTGATGTCAGACTAAACAGCTCTTCTAAGTCATCCACCCATATTATCCAACAATACGGACAAAAAGGAAGGAGGAGGGGGGGGAAGAAAAGGACCAGATGGCCAACTTGGTTTGGACTAGAGGAATGCCCTTCGACGTTGAAAAAACATTGAGATATACAGTGATTGCATACGTTATCTCCTTCTGTTCTTCCTTCTTTCTTTTTCTTTCTTCTCCTTCCCTTTTCCTCCTATTATCCCCTTTTCGTCCATATTCTTGACCTGCCATTGACTCTCCTTTTCGCGCACGACCGTCAACTTGTCTTACTATATTCCCAACAATTGTTTCCACGCTCTCCTTTTTTTTTTTTTTTTTTTTTTTTTTTCTATTGTTATTTTTGATCATTTTTCTTTCTCTCTTCTTCAACTGTCAGCTTCTTTTTCTGTCTTGAGACACAGGATTCCAAAACTATAAGCTTTTATCATAACCAACAACACTTGTCGTCCTTTTAGAGTATACATTCCATCAACAATCTCTCACTTCAATTTCCGTTTACTTTTTTTTTTTTTTTTTTTTTTTCTGAAAAAGAAAAAAGAGAGTGTCGCTATATTTTGACCTTAAATTGTTATTTGCATTTAAGATTTGGATGAATGTCTCATAACGAAGGCAACGAGACTGTTCTTCTGGCGCCAAATGGCTGTCCACTTGAGCACTTGCCTGAAGATCCAACACGTCTCTTTTCATCCAATGGCCTTACACTGGACCTACCCAGAATCGGATGGATTGGTGCTGGGATCTGTACACTCCTGGCGACCATTATATCTTTTGTCTTGATTTATCGGCATTTACAATATTATACCAAGGTAAAACGGCCTCGTCCTCACTGTTAATCATTATCATTGTCAGCAGCATCATTAACAACAGCAACGAATTGAAATAGCCAGTCAAGCGACTTACTCTTCCTCTTCCTCTTCCTCTCTTAATCAGCCAAATCAACAGCGCCACATTGTCCGAATGCTTTTAATGGTTCCTATCTATGCGATCACATCCTGGTTCTCATTTGTCTATGTCCGAGAAGCAGTCTACTACGACAAGATCCGAATCCTTTACGAGGCCTTTGTGATTTCCTCCTTCTTAATCTTGATGCTTCAATACCTTGGAGATTCACTTGAGGATCAAAAACGAGTGTTAAGGCGACATAAAAAGACGGAGCGATGGTTTTTCCCCTTATGTTGTATGAAATACAATCCTTCAAGACCTCACTTTTTACAATATATGAAATGGGGCATTCTACAATATGTTCCTCTTAATGTGTTGGCCACCGTCTTGACGATCATCCTCCAAATCCAAGGAAGTTATTGTGAAAGTAGTTGGAATCCCAAATTCGGTCATGTCTGGATCTTGGTCATACAAACTACTGCTGTCACCATTTCGACTTACTTTCTGGTAAATAGTATTATCCGATAACGAGAAGATGAAAGAAAGAAAAAGAAAAAACAAGGCAGGAGCCAACTAACGATATTGGTTTTTTTTTTTTTTTTTTTTTTTTTTTGAGTGGTTGTAGATCATGTTTTACTTCACAGTTCGTGAGGATCTCAAGGAATATTCACCTTTTTACAAGTTTATGTCTGTCAAGCTGGTAAAAAAAAAATTATGCAGGAAAAATTGAAATGGTTGTGATCATTACTGCCGTTTTTATTTTCGCTAATCGATTTTTTTTTTCTTTTTTCTTTTCAAAAAGGTGGTCTTCTTCTCATTCTGGCAAATGGTGGCAGTCGAAGGCCTTGTCTATTTTGGATATATCAAGGAGACGACATATTGGTCAACCACTGATATTGCTGTCGGCATTAATGCGATCCTGATTGATATTGAGATGGTCTTTTTCGCCATCATGCATCTCAAAGCGTTTAGTTACAAGCCCTATGTACCACTCATTATCAACCCAGAATTGCCAGAGGAGAAAAAACAAGCATTGTTGCTCGCTAATGATGCTAATGACAATGACAATAATAACAACAGCAGTCCCAAAGAAAAATCGATCAAGAGTAAAGAAAAAGGGAGCCACAAGGAGATTGATGTTGACATCGATAAGGATCTAGAAGCTCTCAAAAACAACTCTCTGGGCCCCATCGACTCAACTTCAAACCCAACGGACGGCAATAAGAAAAAAAAAGGCAACCATGATCGTCTCCAAAATCAATCCTTAGCCTCAATCCGATCTGATCGACGACGCGAGCCCTCTTCTAACTTGACACCCTCTTCATCCTTCAGAAGGCCTCCACCAGGCGCAGATCCTAGACCAGGGACCGATCCAACTGTCAAACGCTCCAAATCTAAAAAGAGCAACAACAAAGAGGGCAAGATGAAGGGCAAAAAAGATGATGAGGACGAGGAGCTGCCCGAGATGATCATGGACAGGACTCAAAAGACACCTATCTGGAAGGGGCTTTTAGATTCATTCAATCCTCTGGATACGATCCGGGAGTTGGCCTATGGAGTCAAGTACATGTACAGGTGGTCCAGAGGAATCCCAGTGGATAAGGACAGTAGGCGACTGCTGGACCTTGAGCGCGCTTTCGGAAGGACACGACCAGAAGTCCCTTATATACCTCCACCCAAAGATGAAAAAGCCAAGAAGAATAAGAAGAAAAAGAACAAAGATAAAAACAAGAAGACAAAGAATAACCAGGTGGGCGAAAGCGATACTGAAAGTACAAGCGGATCTGAAGATGAGGATTTTGATTACGACGATGAGAAGGGCGATAAAGATGGCAAACATAATAAGGACGAGTCTTATGATCGCGGTAGTAACAGGGTTAAGGACCACGGTGAAAAGGAGAAAGAGAATGGTTCTAGGAAAGAGAATGCGTCAGTCAGTCGGTACCGCCAGTTTCCGGATGATTTCAATAGAAATGAAAGACCCACAACGCAACGACGTGGTGACACTACATATGATATCGGGCACAGTAATGGAAGCAATAGTCGTCCCACAGACTCGATGCGCTCGGCTGGAGGCGTAGGCATGGCTGGTTCAGGAGGAGGTCGATCACCCGTGACACGGAAACCAGTAAAGCCTGTCACTGGCTTTATTAGTGGTAACGCCGCTAAGGATAAGAGCATTATTTCATCAACTTCCAATGCTTCATTGAATCAAGGTGGGCGTCCAGGACAGAGTAAGCAGCAACAACAGCAACCTTCATCATCGCCTGCAAAGAAGAAGAAGAGTGTTGAGTACCTCGGAAAAGAGGAAGCCGCTCGAACCGAACGCGCAACACTCCCAGATATCCAGCCAGAGCCAGTTGAAAGAAAAGTACTGCTCTCAGGACTCTATGTAGATATGCCTCCATTACCAGTAGAAATTGAAGATGATGACGATAATGATACCCACCGCAACCCTCTGACCGAAGAGTCTTCTTCTAGAAGCAGTAGCTCTTTGGATATCCCAGTTCCTAGAATGAATTACCAAGACCGTCATCATCATCCATTACAAGACCGCTCTTTTCGCAAACACCAACATCATACTGGGTATGACATGCATGACCCAAGAGTACAGGAATACGAGGCATGGAGGCGCAAAGGGGATGGTGACACAAATCCGCAACCCTCAATCTTGAAGTTTCAACACCGAGACCATGAGCTGGAACGCGCCGCTGCAGTCCCATATGTACTACCAGTCCCTGCCGTCCCATTGTCTACTCGTCCCAATGTCGGACCTATGATGTCCGGCGACCCCTACCAACGTGAACGGGACTTGGATCGTGCTGAATCTTCCGCCGTCGCCATCAATATTCCTGACGATGACCACCAAGCGATAACTGAGCGCCCAGCACTGGCTATAGCAACACAGACGGAACCATTACCTCGTGACCATAGATACTCTCGCCCCCGAACAGAAGAAAAACCAACTATAGTGGCAATCCATTATGATGACCGCCCTGCAGTTGCAGCCGCATTAGGTCATGGAAGAATCGCATCAGGAGATGCAGGAGCTGCTACAATAAGATCGGAGCGGGACTTTTACCATCATCAACGTGATGCAAGTCGTTCAGACCCAGAGTTATCCAGGTACAGAAATCTTGGTTATGAGGGTGATGAAAGAAGCGATGAGGTTGAATCGTATTACGAGGAACAGGACCTTTGTCATATCCGTCAGCAGAGCTCTCAAGGTCCTCGAGTTACACCGAAGGCTACAGCCCCGCAACAGGCCTTAGCATCTGAACCCACTCTGGTTCCTACCTCTACTGTCGCTATCGCCACTGCCCCTATTACTACCTCTGCTCCTACGCCTGGCTCTGCTCCCGTCACTGACCTTACGCCTCCAGTCCCAGCTTTTGATGATGTTGATCCCATTGTCGCTCAGTATAATCAGTTGCAATATAAGCAAAAGCTTGAAGAGCATCAACACTTGCAAGAAAAACAACAGCAACAACAACAGAAGCAACAGCAAGAAAAAAAATTACTGCAGCCACAGCAGAAGCGTCAGGAACGACATGAAGGCTCCCGACCTCAACGCCACCGTCCACAGCTACAGCCGCCATTGCATCGCGAAGCTCGACAATACGCTCCACCACCAATTCGACGTAGAAACAGCCTTGAAAGTCTTAGCTCAGACAACAGCGGTGGTTTCCGCGTACGAGCTATTGCAGGAGCATACGACCGCCGCCATCACGCCTACGTTTATGGCGGTTATGGTGGTTACGATGGATATGACAGATATGGATATGGGTATGGATACAATGATGGGCATGATAGGTATGGACGTAGGGATGAATTTAGGGGTAGAGATAGAGAAAGAGAGAAGGACAGAGGCAGATATAGAGATGAGCACTACGAACGATATCGCCCTTCTTCTCCAACGTCGTCCACAACCTCTCGCTTCACAGACACTCGTTACGAACACGCATACCGGCATCCTTTACCACTGTCACAGCCTGTCCAGCCGCTGCAATTTTACAGGTTCCCTGAAGAGAGAGAGCTGTATGAGCAGCGACGACGAGAACTGCAACACCAGCAGGAGCAGCAAACAAGTCAACGTGGGCACGAACAAGGCACAGGGTATGGCTCAAACCCATCTATGCGTCAGAGCACAACCATTAGTTCTAATGCACGACCATTGCGGGACCACGAACGATCCTACCAGTTGTCGCGCCAGCAAGATCAGCAGCAGCAGCAGAGGGATCAACGTACACAACGAAAACCAAACACAAGCTCATTCTATGACGATCTCTCGCAGTACACTATTCCTCAACGTCCTGCAGGCGCATCCCATCCAGCAAAATCCTCTCAAGCTCGTGGCATAATACCTTTGCCCACCCAAATGCCGAATGCCTCACACATGATGCCCTTACCCATTCCTATGCCCATCTACCCATCGCAACCTCAGCCTGCGAGACGCTCGACTATGGACTATGCTCAACCGGATCCAAGCAACTATCATGGTGGTGGGAGAGTAGATGCTGGAATGGATGGCTTGTTTCCTGCATCCAGGTACGCAGCTCCGTTTTTGAGAGATTATGAACTGCAACAACGTGAAGGCCGTCGACAAATGGCCAGGAGTCCGCCAATTGATGGGCCATCAAGTTTTAACACGAGACAGATGACGGAAGGAGGATCGAGATATTAACAGATGATAGTTATATAGACGCAGTTTATAATAAATGAGCATACATCACATCATCCAGCCAGGTTTGGCCTAACTTTTCATCTTTGTTAATTTTCGAAGAAATTGATTGATTTATTTTTATTTTTACATGGCCGGGACGGTAACTTGAGAGGCATCTAAGCCCAAAGCGTGCAAAAATAGATTGACATTTCCAATCCTCTGTGCTGCCTTCTCAGGAGCAGAGCGCGATGTCTGCGCTGCAATTACATTATCCAAAACTTGCTCTCTATTGTTGTAAATATGAAGAAGGCGTTTATCAATACTCCGAACATTTTATAAAAAAAAAAAAAAAAAAAAGATGGCTTGATCAATTCTTCTTTTTCTTTTTCTTTTTCTTTTTCTTTTTCTTTTTTCTTTTTGTTACTAGCCCATCTCTAAATCCATACCTAACTTCGGTTACAAGAACATGTTGTTGCTCAACCGAGGCACCCACAGCCATGGCTGCCAAAAACCGCCATACGTGAACATCTTCTGCCATGGTGGCCTTGGGCATGAATAGCGCGGCGAAATGTGTCTGCAATTGACTGAAAAGTCGATTATAAAGCTCGTTCCATTGTTCAATTTCGCGTTCATCCGGAATAGGATAATTACTATGTCCCTGTTTCAGAATCTCTGCACGGGTCAAGAATAATGTCAAAAAAGCCAAACCTGGTCTGCTTCTCGCCACCCAGATCATATTGTTGCGCTCAATGAACAATGCCAAAAGCCCAACAACAATCCTGAAGGGTGCCTCGGAGACAAATCCCAGTAGAGGCGGCACAATCGTATTCATGAACAGCTCAATCTCCTGGTTACCCTCCACATCTGCATAGATCTCGGACTTGCAAACATTCAACGAGTCAAAATTGGCAACGAGCATTGTCAACAGCGTCAGTATCTGCTCAGGAAGCAAATGGCGAAGTACGCGAGGAATGACTTTCTTTCCCTTGGAATAATTCAAAATCGAGATGAAGGGATGGGGATGACTAATGTAGGTTTTTTTTTTTTTTGTTAAAAAATAGAATAAAATAAAGCCTGTTAATAAGGGTCAATTTAGTTGGAAATCAAGCCTACGTCCCTCTTCTGACAACAAAAAATAATTAACTCACACAATGCTGATAGGGACAGTGATTCGAAGCTCTCTCCACATCTTGCGAGCTAATTCTCCATATTCCTCGTTCCATTGCTGAATAACTTCTCTTGCAAGCTCTTCCTCGCCTGGTCTAGGAGGAGGAGGCTGTTGTCGTCTCATCTGCTCCAGAGCTAGGACGCAAGTGTAGACGTTCTCAATCCATCCCAAGACAGTGTGTGACTTGGTGCTGACAGGCCCAGGCGAAGGAGGCTTGGGCAAGTTTCCAGCTAAAACATCATTGGTAGATCCACGCTTCGAGACCTGCAAGAGTTGACGGGGATTGAGCACAGAGTTGACAGCAATCTTTCCGAGAGCACCCTCCACAGTAACTATGAGTAAATGATGAATCGACATGATATGATCAGAAACAAATGATTTCATTTCTTAACACAGATCAAAGAGATTAAGATGTCCCGGGACATTTAATTTCCGTTCGCTTCACAATTTCACAATACCATTAGTGCGCTTGGGATTGCGTTTAGCATCGCTGACGATCCTCTGAACTTGCTGTTGCATTCGCTGCTCTGTTCGGCCATTGCCTCGGCGTCTGTTGTCGGGATGTCCTGAATCCATCATACTGCCAGGTATGCCCATCTGTTGAAGATGTCTGTTGCGAAGAGCAGTGTACACTTGACAATAAAAGTCATCGGCGTAAGGGTCATCTGTAACCAACTGAGAAATCTGAATACGGTTGATGAAATCCTTGTCGCTCTGAGTCATTAACCCATTATGCTTCGCCTAAATATAATTGCGATGGGTTTACAACGAGCAAAAAGTTAAAGTAGGCACTTTTACAGTTTTTCTTTTTTTTTTTTTTCTAAGTGAAAAAACAAAAAAAAAAAAAAAAAAAAAAAAAAAAAAGACTTACAATTTCCGCCTGTTTGGCAAGTCTCTCGGCACGGCGCTTCTCAAGTCGAGCTTGCTTAGCCTGCTGTTCAGCAATCACAGACTCAGTGTAGATGGGACGCCCTCCGTTAATGCTCATCAAGGCAGCCTCGACCTCCTCCAAACTCATCATCTTGCGCTCCTGTTGTGCAGGGATTTGAGGTTGAGTTCCAGCAGTTCTCAATAGCTGCGCCTCAATTTCTTCCAGGCTAGGCTGATTGCCGAAAGTTGAGGGGCGCGATAAAGCAAAGGTGCCTACGCCAAAGACCGGGTCGTGAACAAATCCAGTGTTTCGTCCGCCAGCATCTACGATAATTTAATAAGCCCAGGAAGATTTCGTTTTTTTCTTTTTTAAAAAAAAATTGTTGATCGGAAGCTTGTATTTCAAGTATAACGCATTGTACTGTTCATGTACCAAAGAGAATGTTAGTTGAAAAAGGAAATGGCACATACCCATGCCCTTGACGGTCGTATTGCCGAAAGAGCCCCAGATCGACGATGCAGCTTGTGATGGCTATAATAGCATGAATATTTAGACATTAGACATCTGGAAACAAATATTGCATGTTTATACATATGTTTAACAGCAGCGACCACAAGATATAGATAAAGTCGGAGCTGCAAAGAAATGACCTATGATAAAAAATTAAAAAGGCGTATTACCTCAGGGAGACCATTCTTGTAGCTGTCCTGCTGAGCAGAAGCATCGTTCTCCCAGAGAGAAGCAAAAGATGAGCGGCGAACTCCTGAACATCATCGTATTTTGTTATTTTGAACCCATCCATGCATAGTAATATTTACAAAAAAAAAATTAGGATCTTGTCCATATGAATGCGATAAAATCAAAAGTTCGTTCCTTGTGAGCATCTCTCTGAAACTGGATGACTGTAAGCTTCCATGATGCCAGTCAAGATAAACTTACCGACATGCTCGTTCTGCTTAATGTAGAGTTCTTCTTCTTTCTTAAGAGCCGGTGCGATTTGGCGCGTGTTGCTGGCAAAGTCAAAGTCGGTTCCAGCTGTTTCGTTGTTGAATATTGATTGCCGTTATCAAGTGCAAAAAATAAACAGGCGAAGAGATAGGGAAAGAAAAAAGTTAATTGGCTTATCTTGTGTTCTTTTCTCCTCATTAAATAAATAATAATAATAATCATAATAATAAAAAGCAATAAAAATAATAAAGCCGATCTTGATTTCTCAATCAATGAAAAGTAAGAGTAATTGCTCCATTAATAAAAAAAAGAAAAAAAGAGGAAACTTGCCTTCACCACCAGTACCACCAAAGGTCTCATCATTGAGGTCGTCTCTGGTCTCCTCCAGACCATCAGCTAAATTGTCGTACGTCTCACCATAGTCGTAGATTTCAAAGTCCTCACCAGTCTCAAGAGCATACTTTTGAACCTGACGATCCAGCTCCTGTTGCTCATCTGGATTCAACATAACTTTGCGACTACCCGGACGGCCTGGCATGACCGTATTGAAGCCAAAGAAGTCGGACATTGTTCCAAGAATTCGTATTCGTCCTTTTCTCTTCTTATTTTGAGCTCCAACTTTTTTTTTTTTTTTTTTTTCCCCTCTGTCTTAGCTTCTCACTCCTTTCTGTTACTCCTGTACTTTTTTTTAATAGTTTATTGCTGTTGTTGTTGCCTCAGCACTGACCAAAAGGACATATGGTGCGAGAGAGAATAAAGTGAAGATAATCGTCGCGAGCACACAGCTGCTTTGAAGGGAAGTTGGAGGCGCGTACAAGTGTCGAAGTAGGGACAACAGACAAGCTTAAAAGAAAGTGAAAAAAAAAAAAAAAAGATTGGACCGAACAAGCCAAAAAAAAAAAAAAAAAAACCCCTTTTAGGCTGACGTCGACACAAGCTTGTTTTCTTTCTTTCCACACATTCTCTTTCTTTTGACACGACCCTTTTTTTTGTTCAGTCATCCCAACACGAGGCGAGAAAATGAGTGAACAACCTTTACCTACCACTTCTGATGGATACATTGATATTGACGCTACTAGCGCTGGCGCTGGTACTGCTACAGACACACTCACACAACGGATATGGGATATCGATGATCAACTGACCAATGATATTGACTCCATCGACGGAGACTCTGACATCTCTGAATTCTCCACCACTTCCACCCGTGACATTCAACGTGAATGGGATGAAAATATGGAACAAGGTCGTCAGTTACTTGCCTTCGTCATCGTCCCCTTTGTTGGTCGTTGGCTTGGCAAAAAAGTTTCTTACTGGAGTATGTTTCATTAGGAAGTGGTTTTTTTTTTTTTATAGATCTCTTGAAGGCTCAATGACCAAATTCATTATATATATCTATCTTCCAATATGAGTATCCACTAATCACAGCTGTCTCTCTCCTATTAATATCATAGTCTGGACAAGATTTCTGCAACATCACTACAAATTTCGTTCGATAGGGATGTAGATGGCCGGAGCGTGGAACTCCAGGAAGGAAGAAACATCTTTGACTGATAAAAAAAATATCAATGTCAACATGAAATACGAGCTTCCATTTTTTTTAAAAAAAAAAAAAAAAAAAAAAAAAAAAAACGAGGTCGACGGTATAAAGCTTTTTCATCAATCAGGGACCGACGATAAACTTTACAAGCAGCCAAGCAGTCAAGCCAAGCTTCATCCTCTGTACACTATCTATCTAAATCAAAGTATCTACAGTTTCTACAATTTCTACAGTTTCTACAAGCAATATTAAAGACGTGTAAAAAAAAAATGACGCGAGAGGAAGGGAATTCGCACGAAGCAATGATTATTAAGGGGAATAATCTTCCTACAAAATAAGATTCAAATTGATTGTTCATAAAACGCGATTCCACTCCACGGCTCCCTCTTTTTTTTTTTTTTTTTTTTTTTTTTTTTTCTGCAAACTCCTTCAACTCCTTCATTCAACCAACTAACATTCGAAAAGAACCTTGCACGCAACCATGCTCTCCCCTGTTAGAAGCTCTATTCTTGCACAGCTCTGCAAGTCCCCTCTTTCACAACAACGACAACAACCATTATTCTCTCGTATTCTCCGAGCCTCATTCTCGAGCGCACCCAAGCGCCACCTGATCCGTGATAATTCGTATCCTTATCCTCTTTATTACCACTTACTCACGGCCGATAACGCTGCTTCCAACAATATCCAAACCCCCTCTCATGCTGAACCCCGTTCCCGTACCTCTGCCTCCGATCATTCAGATTATAACGCAACCTATGTTCTCTCCTTCCTGGAAGCCTTCCCTAAACAGAACCCTCAAATCATCGGTTTCTTAAACCACAGTACTTCCTCTCCAGACTCGGAAGAGGAAATTGAGGTTCGACCCAATAATTTTACAGAGAACGAGGCCTTTAACGATCTTCTTCATCAAGTCATCCAACAAAATCTCAAGAAGGATCCGATGGTCGAAATGGTTTTACAGCAGCAAGTGGAAGGGTAAGTAGAAATAGACAAAAAAAAAAAAAAAAAGATATTCTGATCTGATCTGTTCTGCTCTGTTCATTGCAACGTTTGTATACAACTAATGCCGTTTCATTTTTTTTTTTTTTTTTTTTTTTTGTTCGGTTGATTGTATCAATCATTCATCACTATCAAATGAATTTAAAAGTTGGACTCATATCACAGACAAGCGTAACCCAGCGCCCTATGGAAGGTAAAATGAGGAAATGAGAAACAAACCATATAAACTTCTACGCTTGCCTGTTTAAATGTAACCTCTGTGAGATTTCCCATCACTCTGACGCCATTTTTCTTTTTTATTTTTTATTGTGTGTGTATAATAATAGAACTCCATTGCCAGAAGATATCTTTGGAAGTGTTCAAATCCTCAATGGAGAAATTCAACCATCAACCTATCAGAGAATGCCTTCACACCGTATCGTCAGTAGCAATGGTCTCTTCCAGTTGAGTGAATATCTTCATGATAAACTTGTCAAGCACCTCACCAATCTGTAAATAGTAAATACGGTCCGATCAAAAACCTTTTGTCATCTAAACAACATAAACAACTAAGCATATAAATGCAATTGCAAATAAAACGGCCTTTGTTCTTTATTGTTTTATATTTCGTTATGAGTTCATTGCTAAATATGCTGGATACTGTTTGTAGTTAAAAAAAAAAAAAAAAAAAAAAAAAAAAATATTACAGTCTTTGTACTTTAAACATGTTACAATGATATGATGATAATTATTATAAGAATAAAAGGGTAAAAAAAATAAAAAGAAAAATATGCAAAGTTACAACTATAGTTGAAACTATATCACAGTCTCTTGAAATTAAAAAAAAAAAGTGGGAATCGAGGTATTACAAATAGCCTCAACAGACAATTCACTAGACCAGAAGGTTATGTCTGAATAACAGGCCTCAATCTATCCTTTGCCACATCTCCATTTGCCATGAAAATCACTTTGGCTTTCTCTTGCTGCTCTATTGATCCTGTCTTGCTCGCTGATTGGCGTCGTGAAGACTCTCCCCGGTTAGAATTGGTCGACCACACAACGTTATGCCTTCCACCTTTACGCTTCCCTTTATTGCCGTTACCATGCTCATCCTCTACCGTTCCTCCAGCTCCAGTGCTTAACACGCTGCTGTCGCTAGTATGAGATGACGATGATTCTTGGCGATGAAAAGCCTTGTCGGATGTCGTTAATGATTTTGGAGTAACATTTGCAATGTCCGCAAGGCTAAACTCCACTGCCGCACGAGGAGTTCGGCCTCCGCTTCCAGAAGTGCCATTGTTGTTATTACCACGTCCATTCTTCTGCTTTTCACCGCAAACGTGGCCACTGTTAGACTTTTTGTTGCGCTGACTAGAGTTCGAGGTTGATCCACTACCACCACTCTTGTCCTGCTTCACATTCCGGGAAGCTCCAGATCGAGAGAGATCGTCAGGATTTCCTTTCTCACCCTTCCCCTGCTTGGACCGGTTTCTCGATTGACTTTGTTGATTAGACAACTCATGACTGCGTCCACCTCCGTTCTGGTGAGACGAGGTATCTTTTTGACACGAGAGCTTGGCAGAACTCGAATTATCCCCACCATAGATTCGGCCTAATCCTCGATGACTAGAGCTTTGTTTACTGCTGCCAGTTGGATCCTTGCTGTGGGGTGATCTGGTCCCGATATTAAGCGTTTCCATCACTGAAATCTCCGATGGCACTACTTCCTCTTCCTCATCATCGTCATAGTCGTCGTCGTAATAATTGTTCATTGAGCGATAACCGTTGGCATATCTTCGGCCAGGAGCATAGCTGTAATGGTTTGGGTTGCTAATATTACCTTTACGTAAGCTCATGGGATGGTAGTAACTAGCCGGGAAAACATATTGCTCACAACATTCGTTCAAGGATACCCTGTAATGAAGGATTTCCAGCGCTCTCTTGAATTCCTCCTTCAAGCCCTTGCTGCTAATCATATCGGATGAATTTCCCAGGTTGCGGCTCGTGTCGAATGGCTCTTCCACGCAAAATAGCTTGTACTGCTTCCCAGGCAGATGCCATCCTTTGGACTCCTTGGTCAGGTAGCAGCCATTCCGTACAGAGATCACGTAATTGTCATAATCAAACTCGATTGCAAATCTAATTTTGGATATAACCAATCCATATCATTTAAACTCTGATTAATCTAGCGATCTGATGCGACAGTCTGCATAGGTGATCCAGTAAATAAAAACCCAAACAAACTGGTTCATACCTTCTGAAGAAAGCATAGAGTAGACCTCCTAATGTTTCCTTGTTTGGCAGACCGAATCCCTCTAATTTCTCAAGATCCTGACAAAACGATGTGTTGTTGCCATTAATGACCTGGTTATCCTCAGAAAGAACGTGTGGTATTTGGTGCAGCTTGGGTAAGATAGGCGGCGAGCGCATTTGTAAGAAATTGATAACAATACAGATCCAGGTATATGTCGATATGGTCCCTCCATTTGCTATTAATCAACAAGTGTAACGGAACCGAGGGTTATTATGCAATGTTTCTATTCAAGTGTCTCAAGCGCGCAAATATCTTGCCAAGTGACAGACTACATCTTACCTGCATCGTTCAAGACTCGCCGCCTTGCCCAGTGTTTAATAATCATGGCAAAGGGTCGCACACGCGGATCAATTGATACATATGTCTTGATCATTTTTGTGTTCAACAATCCAAGCGGCGTGTTGATGTTCATGTCACACGAAAAGCGGCTACATCAGGGCAATGAATATGTATATAAAAATGTTTATAAATGAATAAGGTGCTCATTTGTTTTGTCTTTGTAACCACATCCAAAACAACAGCTTCTTACAATTCAGGGTCCCAAAATTTGACAATAGGTACTTTGGCCCTTGGTATACAGAAGACCTTTTGCATCCCATGTTTCCGGAAGACATTCGCCAGCATTTGCACATTCCTCAATCCTGACCAGGTCGTCATGATACAAATGTCAATGTCGCTTGAGCTTGTTCCCAAATCATTAACAGTAGAACTGATAGATAAATAAATAAATAAATAAATAAAAATAAAGAGGGAAAAAAAAAAAAAAAAAAAAAAAAGAGTTAAAATAGCTTTTTTTTTTTTTTTGTGATTATGAATGATGCACAATCGAAAGAGTCTTACCCAAAAGGATGGACTTGGATATCCTGTCCTGGCCATTCTAATTGCACGATGCGTTCAATCTTCTTTATCAGCCTTGTCCGGCGATGGTGGCTCTCTTCAGTTGGCAATAAACTCTATGTCAATCCCAGTAAATACGGGTGTAAAAAGGTAATCATAGAATGTTAGACTTAAATGATCAGCAGACTCACGGATGATTACTGGGTGATACACATCTTTTTAAATATACCTCGAAAAGATCGACCATGTCCATCGATAATTTAGCCTCGCATTCACGAGGAAGAATGATGGGGAAGCGTTCGTGTAGCTGGAGATTGTTTGGTTTCCTCAATGTGGATGCTCGAGTGAATTTGGATACTTGTGGTTTTGATGCTGGGATGGGTGCTACTCCTGGAAGAAGTGTTGACCATGCTGACGTGTTTGAAGCCGAGGCAGGAACAATAGGCTGTGTGGCAGCAGAAACTGGTGAAGAGCCTTCTGTTGGGAGAACCTTTGTTTCTTGGATTTTTTCCTGAGCCAATCCGTTAGTGACAGAGTCTTTTACTTTTGTGTCGATGCTGTCCTGGGTAGGATTCCTTTCAGATAGCATCGGCTGTGTTGTTGCTGAGGATGCAGACGCAAGACCTATTTTTGTTGTATCGTTCTCATCCTTGTCCTCATCCTTGTCCTCTTCATCGGGCTCGCCTTCGGAAGTGACATTGACTGGGGACAAAGGAGGGGTCGCCACCTGAGAAAGGGCTAATGTTGTGGGATTATTTGCCACATCAGCGTGAATGATCAAGCCGTAGTTATCCATTGTGTTCTGTTTGGATGATAAACCATTGTATTTCGCACGGTTACCAACCCCATTAGAGAATCGCGGCATGGATCGCTGAATTGCAGTTGTCTCTGAAGGAAAAGGGTCGGCTCCACTGTCGGATTGAGAGTCCTCTAGGCTGGCAGGGGAATCAGGCCTATGGTTCTGTTGAAGTGAATCAGCACCGTTTGACTGAGGAAGACTCCCTCGAGTTGAATGATTCGGAAGATGATAATGAATCTCGCTCTGACCGAGGGAGGGCTCCTGTCCTAGCATGTGTACCTTCGAGTGGGCGTTGTGCTGTTGCTGCTTGAGGTCTTTAATGTTGTTACTACTGCCCTTGCGATCCTTAATGTCACTGCGTACAGTCTGATGTTCGATGGAAGGGGAGAAACTGGAGTTGCTTGGTTGAGTAGTCTGATGGACTATTGGCATTGTAATTTCTTTTTTTCCTTTTTATAAAAAGAAGATGTCTTTGCTTCCTGACGATTTATCTCCACACAATTTAGGCTTTGATTAACAAGGGTTGGTGAAGAGGACTGGGAACGAGGTGGTCTAAGCAAATGAACGTGTTCTAAAAGATGGATAATATTTACTGCGTTAGAAAGCTCGGACCATTGGAAGATGTTGTTATTTTGGGAAGGAAAAGAGTTCATTAAAAGAGATTGATGGGAATTGACATCATAAGGCAGAATAGGATCGGTGGTTACGCTAGAGGAAAAAGGAAGGACGACGAATAAATGCTGCCACATTATTAGGGTCATAGCATTGGGCGAAGAAACGGGCTGGTTGAGTAATAATGCGGTGGTCACAAAGTAAAAAACTGCCGGTTGTAGCTGTGTTTGTTTGTTTCTTTTTTTGCAGCAAGAGAAAATGTTGGTGGCAAGAAAATAAAAAAATAAAAAAAAAAGGGAAATAACGGTCATTGGGTACAACATGCAGTTGAATGATGATACAAATGTAACATGGTGGAATGATGAATGAAAATGTAATGTCTATACTCAATTCACGAACAAAAAAAAAAAAAAAAAAAAAAAAAAAAAGGCAGAGTAAGAGAAAGAAGGAAAGGGGCGACAGTAATGATAACTTGTACTATTACTAGTATCATTGCCACCATAGCATATACAGTATGCAAATGTGTAAAAGATGGAGTCAATCAACACGATAAACCCACCTTTTCTTCTTATTATTATTATTATTATTTTTTTTTTTTTTTTGTTAAGGATTAAAAGGATAGAAGCAAATTGAAGTGAAAAAGGAAAGAGTGTAAAGAAAAGAGGGGAAGTCAAGCAAAAAGAAGAGATTCTCCTTGAAGACCGGGTCAATAACAGAGTGTTTGTGCAAAATAAAAGTCAGAAAAGCAATAAGAGTATAGAGTGGAGAGTAGATTTGAAGAGCAAAGAAAATGTGAGAGAGAGAAAGAGAAAAGAAAAGAAAAAGAAAAGAGGTGAGAAAGAGTTTTAAAAAAAAAAGAAACTGCGACTTTTTTTAATTTTATTATTTTATTTATTAATTGTTTGACTTGTCTTTATTATCATGCTTATTATAACAAATGATATGAGCAGAAACATTATTAACCATACCCCTAACTGTACATGTAAGGAATATGCAGGTCAATCAACCATGGTAACCAGCCAGGCTCTATGCTGGCCTGCCATTGGATCCTTGCTCTGAAAAAAAAAAACCAATCCCCCAAATGTTTACATCCACATCCTAAAGAATGTGAATGGGGTAGGTAAAGGGAAGATCAACTCCAAAAAAAAAAAAAAAAAAAAAAAAAAACAATAACCATGTCATACTCTGCGTCTTTCTAAACAAGCTGCTGACTAACTGACATTAACCCAATTCCTCCAAAGGAACAACAAGGAACACACACCTCTGCTCGCCTTGTTTGCTTATTCTTCTCCACATGTTGAAATCTTCCTTAGACAGCCCAATATCCTCGATTCACATTCACAAACAGTTACATCCACACCCACATGCACTCACAAACACATTCTTCCTGTCAATACACTAGTCTGTATAAACATCAATTGGATAGGACAAGGGTCTAGATCCAAGTCTTCACACATTCTGTTTTTTTTTTTTCTTCTTTTTTCCTTCAAGTGTTTGCTTTCGCGTGAAATACGATCAATGCACTACCTAAAAAAAAAAAAAAAAAAAAAACCCTCCGACAGTGCCGTCATGTCGTAAAGATTTATTGGTGTATCATATTGCATCATGTACAATCATTTACACAATCAGCGTAACGCGCAGGCAAAGGCAGTTAATCCATACAGCCATCCTGAATCATGATATTACGCCGGTTTTATTTTATTTTTTTTTTTAAAAAAAAAAAAAAAAAAAAAAAAAAAAAAAGAATAGGGCTCCAAGTTTTTGTAATCCCCTTTTTTTTTTTTTTACACGCCTTTTTTAATATTATTACATATTATATATTATTATATACTATTAAATTGAGCACAAAGTAAACATGATCAAAGCCGACCCTATTGACCTGAACTTGGCCCACTCATAGCCCACCCAGTGTTTTAAGTATTTTAAGATAGAGCATGTGTACATATTGGAAAGTGAGGGGTTATAAGGAAAAAAAAGCATAATTGAAAAGAATACGCGCGCAGCATCAGCATCAGCAGCATCAAGAGGAACGCCAGACCAATCCCTTTCTAAATAATTTTGTAGTTTTGATCCATTTGATCCATTTGAACGTGAATAAAATAAATCTCCCCAAATATAGTCAATGATTTAGCCAATGGGTCACGTCGTTGGCCAAGCATAGCCAGTCAGAGATATATACATGTCTATGTATCGTCGTCTACTGTACAAAAAAGACAATACCCATAATGATCATAATGATAAAAAAGACAACCACTACATATTTATTGTCGTCCTATAAAACTTTGTCTCTTTCGTCTTCTGTAAACAAACTAATCTTGCTCCAGTTTACTTTCCACTCTTCTTAATGCCACCACCAACTACAGATTAAATATAAAAAAAAAAATAATCATGAGATCAGATTTATGTTTGCTGCGGCACGAGTTAAAAAAGAAATTCAGGGCTGTGACTTACGAAGAGGTCCCTTGCCAGAAGCCTTTGCCTGCATCTCTTTCAACTTGGCCTGCTCCTCTCTCTGCTTGGCTTTGAATGCAAGATCCTCCTATAAAGAGTGACATATAAGTGGAGTCAGTAAGTGTTTGTAATTGTTGTCAACTGCATTTTTTTTTTTTTTTTTTTTTTCTTTTTTTTTCTCTCTCATCTCTTTTTTTTTTTTTTTTTTTTTTTTTTTTTCTATTTTTCTCTCCAAAGCATACATTGTTGTACGCATTACTATACAATCAAATGTTGCCCCATGCAAAAAAAAAAAAAAAACTCATCAAGTTTAAACCAGAACAAGCACCAAATCAAAACAAACCAAAAACCAACAAGTAAACAAAAATAATAATAAAGCCCATGTATTCAATTGTTTTCTGACAAACCTCATCAAGATCAACAGCTTTCTTCTTGGGTGCCTTTAAGGGCTTAGCTTTTCCACCAGCGCGTCCAGACATGGGAAGATATGATGATAAATGTGCCTTGTTTAAAAAAAAAAAAAAAAAAAAAAAAAAAGTGAACGAATGAATGAATGAATGTGAATGAAAATGCAATGAGAAAAAAAAAAAAAAAAAAAATTTTTTTTTAATAATTATTCACGTGATCTACATCGCGGTAAAACTGTCCATTCACTTTCGCCTTCACTTAATTTCCACTTTCATTTGTCAGTGGATATGTTTCTCTTGACCGATGAATTCCTTTTTTTTTTTTTCATTTGCCTATGATGATGATGGCGCTAAAAGATATCTGAAAAAGGCAACTGACTTCCGATATTCTGTCCATGTGCGCATACATTCCAATCCACGTCGTTTCATCTCATCTAGACAGATCTTTATAACTTTTATAACTCTTGTTTTGTATTATTATTATTATTATTCCTTTAGCATATCTGATCAATCATCCTATTGATTCTTGTGTACAATACAAACAGATATTGGAACTTTAATTCTCATGATTCAATCCTTAGTACTGTACTCTGTATGGCTATATCCATCATCATGGAGAAGGAAAGAAAAAAAAGTTTTGAATTCGACTTTTTTTTTTCTTTTTTTTTTTCAAGCTGTCCTTGATGGGTATATTAAATTGTTAATGTCGCTAAGACTAGAGACTGCTAGTCGATACTGTGGCATCCGCATAAAGGGTTCATCTACTGGGCCTTTGCAAAGCGAATTTACATGACTTGAACAAAGAATCAGAGAATGAAGGTCTAGTCAAGCCCTAAAAAAAAAAAAAAAAAAAAAAAAAGCCCAAATATATACTAGTACATTAAGAAATAGCGATAGCCAAAGAAACAGTTCAGTAGGGGATACGAGCAAAAGAAATAAAATACATCCTTGATCTGGAGTAATGGTGGATAAAGGAAGCTTAAAAAAAAAAAAAAAAAAAAGCAAAATCTGATAGTTTAAATTTTTTTTTTATTTGACTGTAATATTGACTTTGATTCTGCTGTCGTATTGTATGATGCTGTCCTGTACATTGAGTTATGTTCAATCGCTGCTCATCTTTTTCTTTCCTTCTTTCGTTCTTCTTCTCGACCCCTGGGTGATCTTTATTCACTACGGCTGTTGCGGTAGAGAGCTTCTTGAGTGACAGAAAGTTCATCAATCTCTGGAGCAACATCAGCCAAAATCTCCTGTGCCTCCTTGTAGAAGTTAAGCTGAGCAGCAACCAAATCAGCCAAGTTACGAAGAGGCTCGGGCTTTTTTTTTTTTTTTTTTTTTTTTTTTTAAAAAAAAAAAAACGTAAAAAAAATTAAAAATCAATACGAGTACTTAACGCTCCACATCAAGAGATGAAATAAACTACACAAATTAGCTTACGTTTTCGAGAACAGTCTTCATAAGAGTAGTAGCCTCTTCCACCGCAGCCACAAACAAGTCCTCAGCCTGCTCAACCTCAATCCTGCTAGCCTCTGACTTTTCGGGTCTCGCAGTCTTATACTGAGCCTTGGCAGTATCCAATGCCAAACGAGCATTCTGAACATTACGTCTAGCCTTCATTGCGAATCCAAGCTGAGTGTTCAAAGTTGTTCCAAAAGGTTGCACAAACTTGGTTGTGATCTCCTGATCCATCTTCAATCTAAATTCGCCAATCTTTTCCTGAACAGTCGCAAACTTGAACAAAGCTGATCCCATTGGCTCCTCCAATCCTATCAACTCAGATCCTTCAAAACTAGCACGCGACAAGGCATGTGCCAAGGTCTTGGGTGGCGCAGCCTCCTTGCGTTCCTCCAAAGCCGCTGCCTCTGACGCTGCTTTCTCTGCAGGTGAAAGAGCGACCTGTTGGATTCTGTCTGTGACTGTACGACCAAACTCTCCAAGAGTCTCCTGAAGTTGAGCTGGATAATCGTAAGACGGGTTTTGGTAGGTACGAGTGACACGAAGAAGATGGGTGTGCATGGTGCGAAGAGCATCCACACGCTATATTAAAAAAAATCGATTCATTATAATGAAAAAAAAAAAAAAAGACAAATAAATAGAGTACCAATGTTATGGAAAAAGTCTGTAATAATGCTCCGGTATCAATCACAAGCCCCATCCCATAACACTGTTACTATTTTAAAAAGCCCGACACTCATTTTCTTACCTTTTCTAAATCCTTATATTCTTGAGGAAGTTCAGTGATATCTTCAGCTGTGCCCATCTTTTCTTGAGCAAACTATCAGTATATAAAAAAAAAAAAAAAAAAAAAGCAGAAAGTGTCAGTGATAAGGCTTTATAGACTTAATGGCTTTTTTTTTTTTTTTTTTTTTTTGCCAAGTTGCTTCCTCGCTAATATTAATGGCGTCCTATTCATAGGGAACATAGCACACCATTGCATTATGTCTAGATGGTTCATCCAGCCTCCACATTTCAGAAATAATAAGAGAAAACAAAAGAGAATCTCATCCTTCCGCCTCATGGTGAGGCTCACATTACGAAACCAATGCAATAAAAAAAAAAAAAAAAGCTGTTCATTTGCTGTCTGTCTGTCCCTTTTAGATGAACAAATAAACAAGCGCGTTGAGGCTCGAAAGAATGAGCATAAAAGCCTTTGATTGCTGGGTTGCTGATAATTTCACACGTTCCTGATGACGACATGGTCTTGACACTCTGATAGTGATTAGAAAACAAGATGGTGTTTTTTATTGCTGCTATTATTATTATTAATACCTGTTTAACCTGGCCCAGTTGCTTGCCAAGTTTAGCAGCAAGAGGGTTAAGTTGTTGGGAGAACGCCTTGAATTGGTCCATATTGTGGCGAATAAATGTAATAGTGTGGGTTGTTGGGTTCAAGAATGATGAGAGCAAGAAAGGAGAGATGAGAAAATACAAAAAGCAAGTAGTTGGTGAAAAAGAGAAATAAAATTTGGCAAAGTCATAAACATTTGTTACAATTGAACTTGTCATACACACAATGGAGAATTGCTGCACGCTTTGGCAACCAAAGGTCACACACATAAGTGGTTGCTGCTTCTGCTATATTTTTGTGATATTACTTTAATTCCAAACGAATTGGCATTATCGCTTGTTTTCTATACTTGGGGTGATTCTACTCATTCTTCTTCTCGGTATCTGTCTTGACTGTTTCGGCCTGTTGCTTCAAACTTTCATGCTTCTCATGATGGTGATGTCCTTGGTCTCCGTGTTCACGCAGCGTTCCGTTTGTCTCCTGTGCTATTTGATTAGCGACAACCGCATTCGAGACTTCAGCTGCAAGCTTACTCAACTGCTTCTCATACTGCTTGCTAAACACCTCCATATAATAGGATGCACCATTCCAGACACTAACAATGAACAGCCCAACCAAAAAGGCCGTATTCAACTTAAAGTTGCGATACAGCAGCAATGCAAATAAGCATGTCACAAACTAGCATACAGACAAAAGAAAGGAAGAGATTGAAATTAGACATATAACCGACTTTTTTTCTTTTTTGTAACAACCACAACCTGGTCGGACAGGATAGGACCTCAACTTACAGTGTAGATTAACTGCATGCCCATAAACGTGAGAATACTATGCTTCTCGCCAAAGGTATGTGCGACTTTCGAAATCATGCCTCCTTTAGGATCATTCAGTAGCCACGTGTAGGATGTCACGCGTTTTCCCGCCTGGATTTTCTCTCGCTTCCATATTACCACAAAAATATAGTAAGCAACTTGCCACATCAAGTAAATAGCAATTGCTGATTTGAGTGATGACGAAGTTGGAAGTACGTCCATGCCTTTCAGAGCTGGAAAACGGCTATTATCCGAATCAGGATAGAGCCACCGGATTGTGTACAGAGTAATGGGTGGACTCATGTGGATATAAACGCTGGTGACTTTATCCAAGCTGAATTTATAAATAACAAATGATCAGAGGAGGCAAAAAACATGGCATTGATGCATACAGTATCAATCATTAAGCCTTTTTTTTTTTTTTACCTGTGTAAGACAAGGCTGTTACGCCATGTAACAATGGCAAAGGCAAGAGGCCCATGCGAGAGCAGCCAGACAGCACCAAACAAGACTTGTGACTGAGGGAAAACGTAGAGGTATAGAATCACGACAGTATTGACCTGTGAGCAAGAGCAACACAACGATTGTTAGTGATTTCGGAGGTTCATATGATTTTTTTTGCGAGCGCGTGATTATTAGGGAAAGGAGGAAATGGTAGTATCAAAAAGGCTTACAAAGTAGCACATGTCAAGCAAGAAAAAATGCCAGCTCTTGCGCTTGTACAAAATGTAACGGGCAACAACTAAAATGACAGACTGGAAAGTATGCACAAAGGGAATCCATTCGGGATATACTGCCAATAGCCATGGGGTGCAGCAGCACTCAAACATGCCAAGGGTAAATGCAATCTTGTCCATGAATCGTACCACGCTCGCCTTCTTCATTTGTTTCTTCCAAATCATAATAGTTGTATCAATCTGCGCTTTAAGATTGTTGGCAGTGTTGTCAACCTGATTCTGGATCTGACGCTTCTTTGTACCAACATGGTGACTCAGCTGATGTTTTGTCTTTTTGAGGTCTGAACGCAGATTCTGGTAAACCTGACTTGCAAACACCGGAATATCTGGCAAGTCTTCCTCCAGATTTTGCGAGATGAAGGCATCGAGACTGAAGGAGAGCTGTGTAAGAATATTGGGCACAAGGCTAGGTCCGAGTGCAGGGCTGGGAGGTTCTGAGAAAGAAGAGCAAGAATGCTCGCTTGACTCTGGTGCAGAGATAGATCGCTCCAGGGTCAAATCCTGTTGTATTTGTTCTGTCTGTCCTGTATCTGACATAGTCGTGTGGGAAGGTTATAACTGTTGGTATCTAGTTTGTAAGTCTTGTCCGTGGTAGAGCTTATTTGAGGCCAAGTAATTGTCGGTAGGAAAAAGAAAAAGAAAAAAGAAAAAAAAAAAAAAAAAAAAAAAAAAAAAAAAGGAATTAAGAATGAAAAGAATAACTAAATGGGATAGAATGTCAACCTTGACCCCTATTACATCATTGGGGAATGATAAAATTAGCTGATGTGCACCGCGTGAATTCTTTCTCCTTTATTGTGACATCAGTCACATGCTAGTGGTGGTTTGACCGTTAACGTCTTTCTTCCAAGACGTAGATTAGGCCTTCATTACACTATAACCCTAGCTTAGAAACTTCTACTCTAATGCAATGAATATCGCATGAGTAGGAAATTATTGACCTTCCTACTCTTACGTCCGTAAAACAGACAAATTTGTCATTCTAAATTGGCTTGAGATTCAGCAATCCACGGGCATGGCCTTAAAACTTTTTTTTGGCGAAACGATAGTGTATATCGCCAGTCGACACAAAAAACCGAAAACTGAATATATTGTGGTGCATGCAAATGTAATGACGGTAATAAATGATAGTAGAGGATGGATTTTCGAATGACCCTCTTGGCTCCTCAACACTATTGTTTCCAATCTGTCGATCATGCCGAAAACCTGTATTTATCAGCATCCACTGTCGATCTCTAAAGAAGCTGAATAAAGATGGATCTGAGTGCAAAGAATTGGTATCAACACTACATGAGCATACAATAATTAATCCATCATCAATCCATAATATAAAATGGAAGCATCGTATTCCTCCTTTTGCACTTGCGTGCAAAGCGCACATGACGCTAGACACAGGTATTTAGGTGTCAACGCACTGATAAAAAAAAGTTGTAATTTCTGTTTATATTCGTCTCCTGTATCCTTTTCTATCTAATCTCTTACTCGTGAATTCCTTGACTAACTTTAAAACCTTACAGATCAAAGACAGGCCTATAGTATCTATGTAGTGGGCCATGTTTGTCAGCGATGTTGGCCTACATCATAGTCATTACTGTATCCTACCGCTGTCCATCCTTAGCGGAGTGTGATTAGAAGTTTCTTTGAAGAATCATTAACTTGTTCTTCGGATATGGGTGCGAACACGTCTTTATTCGCCAAGCGGGTAAAAGTTGCCCTAGTTGCCATCTGTTGTGTGAATTAAAATTGGCCATCTGCGTTTGCAATATCGCATCTATTTCTAGAGAGCAAAAGATATGCTCGAAGCAATCTTTTGACAAGTGAAGTGAGCCTGATGGCGGACATACTAGTATGTCATTAGACAGAAAGGTCGAACCTGTGGCTGGGCGGCATGTCCCTTCCCCTTCCTCTCTCACCACTGCTTGCGCGGAATGAAGACACTTACACGCAGGCGGCCGTTAAAAATGTTATCATGGGCGTGGTCTCTTGCTACGAGATCTATACAATGTCTTTAGACTTCGAGACTCTTTATATCATGAGGACACCGGGAGTGTTTGAGCTTCCGCAGAACAATCGCCAGCTCAGCCCCCTTTGATCCGGACTAGATCTGTTGAAGCTGATTCAGGTAGGTGGTGGATTTTTGTATTGATTTTTTTTATGGTAACGTCTATCTGCTGTTTATAGTGCTTATACACTCAACTACTGTACGAGTAGGGGGTGGTCTCAACAACTCTTTCTACAACTAGGAGTCGCGATAGCAGTAACAGTAGGAGAAAACATTGGTGCCACCTCTTCTATTATATCGAGAGCAACCGAATACCAAGGGCTCGGGCTAGAATGATCGAGGAGTCTTTGACAGGAGAGATACAAAATAATGACAATGAATGTCTAGAAGAAGTGTTTGAATGCAAGTGCCACATATAGAGTTAGCTTTTAAACGCTCTTCTTGATTTTAACCAAGTGTTGTTAAATTACTTTATATCGGAACAATAGCCTTTTTTTTCATATTTTATATACCATACGTGAATGTTTTTTTTACTCTATGCAAAGGAGAACATGAACTACCCGCGAATGCTGGGAGCCAACCAGGTTCAGGCTCTTGTACACAATAGGAACAAGACATAATGATGTTAACCTTTATATACTGTCGATTTTAATGACGCGTATTGCTTAATGCCCTTAATGATATTTGGTTTTCCTTTATCATTAGTCTAAAAAATTGTCGTGAGCGTCCTTGAGCATGTTTCCGAGAATCATCGTGGAGTCTTACAAACTACGAAACAAAGCAAGAATTTTGGCATGCTTTGGTTCTTTTTTTTTTTTTTTTTTTTTTTTGAAGAATATATATAAATAAACAATGATCTTGTTTCACCAAGAAATCCATACATCCTCAACGTGTCTGTTTTTCTCTTTTTAAAACTATAAAGAAAAAAAAAAAAAAAAAAAAAAAAAAAACGGCAAGAACCTCGCTGTTTCTCTGGGCTTGAAAACCCTATGCACATGGGATGGTTTGACAGTTTGACAGTTTGACAGCTTTTTTTTTTTAAAAAAAAAAAAAAAAAAAAAAAAAAAAACTGGCAAAAATAACCTTGGAAAAATAATTTTTGTCAGGGTTCTCTTCTGTTCTGTTTGTTTTTAGCTCTGTAATTGAAAGTTTGCATGAATTGACTAAAGGTCCTTGATAAGCCCTGGCAATCGGCAAAAAAAAAAAAAAAATCAAGGCAGTGGAGTGTAAACAATGCAAAATGGTCAGACAATCCATGTACCAACAACATGTCTGTCTGCTTAGGTTATGATCAGCTGAATATCGAGGATAGGTTCTGACACAATCTTTTGTTTTTAAACAAAAGAAAAAAAGAATGGGAGGAATGGAGAGGGGCCAGCTCATGTATTTCTTTTGGAGTAACAACTGAGACACGACAAACGAGCTGTCACTGTTACCCGACTCCGCACTAGCGTCAGTGATAATGACTCGAGCAATCAGACTGTTATTTGTTATCGTTTATTCAAATATGGGAGGTCTTTCGATCATCGTCAGTTTAATAAAGTCTAGGAGGACAATGCTAAAGAGAGACATTTCCAAACTTAAATCGGGCCAATGGTCCCATTCACATTCAGCCCAACTTTTTCACTGAGTCTCAAGTCTGAGCTTTATATGCGTTCTATGACATTAGACAGAACCATGTCTTTATAAGTCCTTCATAATTCGGAAAATAAAACTCTAAACAAGACATTCAATAGCATTCGGACTGCATGAATTTTTTTTAAAAAAAAAAGGTCTTGCATCTGCACAGCAAGTAACTATGCAAATTAAAAAAAAAATGAAAAAAAAGGAAATGACATCAATGAGAGAATTCCTTCAAAGATTATTGGTTCATCAATTGAAATGTTTGCAACAAACAGAACCGAGAGAGGGGAGCGGAAGCTGACTTCCTTGGAGATCCCGTTTAGACGAAGACATGCACTTGTTTAAACACATAATTGAGCTAATCAAACATTTGGTTCCTGAGAAGTTCCTATTTTTGTTCCACGTACGTTAAATGATTTTTTTAGTCTGGCGCATATGTTTACTCATACAATAAGAAATTCAACCATCGCATTCCTTCCTATAATATATACTTTATTGTTATCAATCAATGCATAGATAGATATACATGAATATATATACAGTACATGTACATATCGAGTCTGATATGATATATAATACTATTCAAAGATACATACATATTAATCCATACCACTCTGTTCCTTACTTCCTCTCGTTACAAAAAGCTAAATTTAATATAACAGAGCTCGAAATGAGCATAAGGAGTTCCTTTTTTGTCCTCTAGTACCAAGGATATCTTTTGCTCTGTCAGAAGTAGAGTATGATAAAGACAAAAATAGAGTATTATAACATGAAGAAAAAAGCATACCTGTGAATCTTGTGATTCCATATTAATGATTATTTTTCCTTGAGTCCAGACCGTTGAGGCTTTATCCGAAACCATGTTAATGAAGGATGACGACTTTTGTCTTGGATGTCCGAAAGTATAAATTCTACAACTCCATCCATGAACTGCCAAGTTTTTTTTTTTTATTTCAAATGAAGTAAGACCTCCTAATCTCGCATGGACTACGCTTTTTCACGCGTCAAAAAAAGTGTGTGCAATTATATATAATATATAAACTTTATTTTTATTTTTATTTTTTATTTTTTATTTTTTTAATTTTTATTTCTTATTTTTTGTTTTTTATTTTGCTCCGACCATGGTCTGGGATCCTAAAAGATCTTGTCAGCGTTCAAAATCTAACATTTAAATATAAATTGATTTTATGCTCGCTTATACCGGCGCAAGGCAAGCGAACAAATGAACAGTAGTAAGTCTCGCCACGTGCTATTTAATACAAAGTAAGGAAAGGTACGTTCTGTAGAACACACACCTCGATAATGATAGAGTTGCTTCCATATTTGTCTCTTGTCACCTCTCTCTCTAATGTTATTTTTATTTGGAAAAGAAATAAATAAATAAATAAAGAAGGTCTTGGGAACAAAGTAACTTTGAATTGTAACTATAATAACAGTATAGTGAATAAGCAAACACATTTTTTTGGGGGGCACCCTGGAGCCTATTAGGAATATGATTTGATTTGGGATTGATCGGACAGTTAACTGGATTAATACCTTC